TAGAAAGTGGAAGTATCGGTTGTGGGTATAGAGGAACACGTTTAGGCTACGAACCTTTTTAGTCGGGCTATATCACCCTTATCCAAAAAAGCTAAATATCGTTTATCTATCTTTTTTTTTATTTTTTTTATTTTATAATGCTTTTTTTTTTGGTGTGTGTGTGTAAACTTCTCACTGACATGATCTGATCAGTTGGGGGCCACAATTTTATGCTTATTGGTTCCAGGAGTATGCTGAAGATGGAATTGATTGGGCTAAGGTTGATTTTGAAGATAACCAAGAGTGCTTGGATCTTTTTGAGAAGGTACTTTGTTACTGTATCCTCCGCCTGCTTGTTGCCTCTGACTTTTGAGTTTTAAATGCATTCTCCGTCAATCATCCATATGGATTGAGCCTTCAGTTAACCATCCTATTGTATCCAAAGTTAACAGAATCAGATTTAGTTAGAAACTACTATCATCTTGTTTTTTGGTTTCAGGGGTTAAATTTTGGTGCTCTTATCCATAAGTCAGTGATGATAAGCATGAGAGTTCACTTTTTTGTTATTTTTGTTGGCAGAAACCTATTGGGTTGTTATCTTTGCTTGATGAGGAATCAAATTTTCCAAATGCCACTGACTTGACGTTGGCCAATAAGTTGAATAAGCATTTGAATATCAACCCTTTCTTCAAAGGTCAACGAGGTAGAGCTTTTGGCGTACGTCACTATGCTGGGGAGGTCAGTATACTGTGCTCCATTCTCTGTGTGTGTCGGTGGGTGTATCTGTGTGTGTCTGGATAAGTGCAGTGTAGGCTCACTAATATCTCCTATCTATTATCAGTCATTTTATGTGGTAGCTACCAAGAGCTCACTCAAGATCACAAGTCTGGCCATTTTCATCCATTGTTGTTTCAGATATAGACTGTAATTACCAAGATATTTTTCACACTTAAGCAGTGGGCGAATCTTTCCTTCTCTTTCACTGTGGCGTATTCTTCCCCACACACCGCTTCTTCCCTCTTCAAGCATATTTGTTATAATCTTTTGTTGAAGTTGGTATCACACATCCTACAGAAGCTAACTAGCTATTTCCTGTTGCTCTGCATTCCTTCTAACATCTTGTTGTATTTCTCCAGCTGTGAAGGTTCCCTGGTTCTAATTGTTATCCTAACTTTGTGAAATCTTGAAATTGTTCAGGTTGTGTATGATACGAATGGATTCATGGAAAAGAACCGAGACCCACTGCACTCTGACTTCATCCAGCTACTATCTTCAAGCAACTGCAAGCTTCTTCAATCATTTGCTTCACGAAAGCCTGATCAAACTCTTAAATCACTAAGAAATTCAGTATCACAACTAAGTGGACTGGAATCTTCAACACAAAGTGTTGGAACAAAGTTCAAGGTAAAGAAATATTTCTTGCATTTTGATCACAAATGAATGTATAGTCTTAACAATGTTCCAATCGTCATTCGAAAAAGTTCCAATCAGCTATTAAATGTTGCAAAGTCTTTTGGGTAAGTTATTTCTTCTAAGAAGGAAATCATACTTGGTGAATGGTGAGTGCAGAACTGATATACATACTGATCTTGATTCTTTTTATTATCCTTTTTGGGTCAGCTTTGGTTGATGGCAGATTGATGTGGTTCTGTTCTGATTCTGGTCGCATGATAACATGCTTTCTCTAACATATGCAGGCTCAACTCTTTAAACTCATGCATCATTTGGAGAACACAACTCCTCACTTTATTCGCTGCTTAAAGCCAAACAGAAAGCAGCTTCCTGGTGTGTACGAGGAGGATCTTGTTCTACAACAACTCCTATGTTGTGGAATTATGGAGGTAATGAGGATTGCAAGAGCTGGTTATCCTTCTCGAAAGACACATCAAGACTTTGCTGGGAGGTATCAAATTATAATGACGGATATGCACTCTTTGACGGTTCTGTCTTCCTTAATGATTTAAACTGTGCAATTCTAAAGCTGTAAATTCTTTTATATAGGTATGCTTTGCTCCTTCCTGAGCGAAGTGAACATTTGGATCCATTGAGCATTTCTGTTGCCATCCTTAAACAGCTCAATGTTCTCCCTGAAATGTACCAAGTTGGCTGCACCAAAGTTTATCTTCGCACTGCCCAGGTACAAAAAAAAAAAAAAAAAAAATTCTTGACGGTATTATCTGTTTGATTAGTTTGTGTCATGTATAGTTGTTTAATATCTACTATACAATTTGTAGAACTTTTGAATGTTGCTTGTAGGGTCTTTCAGTTGCTTAAGAAACTTTATGACCTATTATCATTTTAGAATGCTTTACCTGTGAATAATCATCTTTGGGCTTCCTCAAGATAGTTCTGTTGTAGATGTACTTGTTCTTTTCCTTCGAATCGTTTCCCCCCCGGTTTCCAAACACTGAGGACAAAGCAGTTCTGTGGTTGATGAGTGGGGAGGCAACACTTTGTTAGAGCTTGTTGAACATGCAAGTTGTTACTGACCAAACCTTAAAGTTGAGTTATTTTGAGAGGATTGTTAGATGTTCGGGACCATATGGAGCTAAAAATGTAATGCGGAGGTTCAACCTACACTAGTGGCAATTTGGTTACCTAGCTGGTTCAACCTGATTTGTTTTGAACTTTATGTCATTGATATGAGCTCGGATTAATGATTTGTTGATGGTTTGATATGAGCATATGGGATGTTGATTGCTAATGCTAGTTGCTTCATTTCATCTGTTACTGCCTTTCAGATTGCCAGATTAGAGGAGCAGAGGACAAAAGCTCTGCAAGGCATAATTACTGTCCAGAACTGCTTTCGAGGTTCCAAGACTCGCCGTCATTTCCATGAGCTGATAGATGGTGCAACAACTCTACAATCATGTAATCCAAATGGCTTTAATATATTCATAGTTGAGAGTAGAGGATGCATATTCATCATTATCTTACCCTTTGATCTTCAGCATTTATTTTCCTATTAGTAATTTTAATAGTTGTTCTCTTTCTACAACTTCAAGATTAAGACTCTTGTGCTGTTTGTTTGCTCTGTCTGTGTGTGTTTCATTGTGCACTTTGTAGGGCTCTCTATCTATCTATGTTGCAATTCCTTCTTTTTAAATTAATTTATGAATTGAGATCACCCTTATAAAAAATTATAGGGAATTGGATAACTAATAACTGTAATATCAAATGATTGAGATCGCTTTTCCTAATTGCAGTTGTTCGTGGAGAAAATATGAGAAGGAAATTTGATTCTATGTCAAAGACATATGACGTCAACACTCTCCCAGTAGTTAACGAGCAGTTGGCTGCCATAATATGTTTGCAATCAGGTGAGGCATCCCAGTGGTCTTTGCTATTATTCGTGGTGTATTTATCCTTTTTCCCCCTACATTCATTGTTCTTATCATCCTCTTTTATCCACAGTAATCCGTGGGTGGTTAACACGGAAGCAACTTAATGACAAGTATAAGTTGAGGCAGTCAAGCCAGGATAATACAAACTCAAGAAGAAAGCCAGGGAGAAAAATTTCTGAAGTAAAGGTAATTCTTCGTTGAGAGAATTTATACTCTCAAAAGAACTCTCTTTAGCTGCAGTAGGCACTGGCATAAGTGATTGAACCCATTGAGTTTGCCATGCCTTTGTATATACCCTTAGGTGAAGTGAAATTATTGACAGCCTGCACTTTTCTCTTTCCCATGTATATACCTTTTAGCACAAGAAAGAAAAAATAGTTTGTCGATCGTGATCTAATTGCTCGGTTGAGCAGGTCATGCCACAGGAGCAGATTGAGGAGCTTCAGAGTACACTATTGGCAGAACTCCAGAAGAGGGTTGCTAAGGCAGAACAGAATTTGGTACAAAAAGATGAGGAAAATGCAGCACTGAGGGAGCAGGTAGAAGAGTTCGGGAAAAAGTGGTCTGAATACGAATCTAAGATGAAAACTATGGAAGAGACATGGCAAATGCAGATGACATCATTGCAGGTAACCCTCTTGTTGCTTGTTCAGCAAAATACAACTGGGTTTTGCAACCATTGCTAAATGGCAATTAAAGAATCTGTTGTTTATACTTTATATCATCCTACAAGTATTCGGTATTCCCTTGATTTGAGATGGAGACCTCTGAGAGTTGGATGGAATGACCCATTTTTCCTTGGTTAAATTCTCCCTGGTGTGATTGGTGGGTGACAAGCTTTATAGTGGTGCTGTCAAGCATGCATGTAACTAGTGCCATGTTTTGCAAGAAGTTGAACTAATTGTTTTTGCCATCATATCTAAAGCCAAAAATATACCTTGTTCAACTGACTGTGCAGGCAAGTCTTGCTGCAGCGAGAAAGAGTCTTCCTGCTGATAACCTGACTCTTCATCAGCAATCACCTCACCACTACTATGATTCAGAGGATTATCCTTCCATTGGCTCTCAGACCCCTGGTGGAAGCACACCAAGAAAGATTCCTAATTCCATGCCGGATCTTAGAATGGCTAAAGAACAGCCTATTAACGGTGGCAGAACTAATCCTGTAACCACTTTACTGATGGAATTCGAGCAGCAGACCCAGAATTTTGAAAGCAACTGTAAAGCCATAGTTGAGGTGGGTTCAGGGAATTCATCAGGTTCTATCTTAAATCCTGAAGAAGCACTTCGAAGACTGAGAAACCAGTTCGAGATATGGAAGAAGAACTACAAGGCCAAACTGCGAGAGGCAAAGACTAGACTCCAGAAACTTAGCCATGGTGAGAACCACAGGGGCCGCAGGGGTTGGTGGGGCAAAATTGGTGCCAAAATGTTGACATAGAAAACAAAGGTCAATGTCCAAGGCAGAAAAAATGGAAGAAGAAACATTTGCCCTCAAAGATGGCTGCTTGCTCTTTGATTCTCTTTGCATTCTGGTTAAAGCAATCACCTTGCCATGAATGCAGAGAATGTTTGTAGCTTGTGGTGAAACTGCCTGGTGGTGGTGGTGCAAGGATTCATCATAATCCTGTGAATAGACATAGATTGTAGTAGGCACCTCATCTCCCTTTTCTCTTGTGTTATAATCCAAGGTTATTCTCTGTATATCCTGCGTTCTAAATTGTAATGTAAAGAAAACATGGTGCGGCTCATAACTCTGTTACTGAATGAAAGATGAAAAGTTTCCATATTCCCTGTCATTTGGTTTGGACTTCATCCACCCTGTAAATCCCTTTTGTTTGATGCTTCAGGGGCTTGTTTGGTTCAGGGATTGTGATTGTTCCAGAATTCATCATTTTGCAACAAGAAAAAAGGATACTTCACTGTCCAAACCACCTCTCAATCTCCATATTTGTTTTCAAATACTGCACATGAAGAAGAAAAGGCATAGGCAGAGAGGTTGTTTCAATTTACATTAAACCTCCATATGCAAAGGTTACACACAAATGGTAGTAAAAGTTCCTTAAAAATCTACAAGTGGCAGGGGAATCAAATTCTAGGGCATTATCTTCACGATCCAGGGACAAATTTGGTGGCAAAGACCCAGGCATTGTTGGCAACAGGATCATCAAGATGGTCCAACAAATTCTCCAAGGGACCCTTCCCAGTGACAATAGCCTGAACAAAGAAACCAAACATGGAGAACATGGCAAGCCTGCCATTCTTGATCTCCTTCACCTTGAGCTCCGCGAAGGTGACCGGGTCGTCAGCGAGCCCCAGCGGGTCGAAGTACTGACCACCGGGGTAAAGCTCGTTGCCTTCTCCAACTCCAGGCAGGCCATTGATGCGAAATCCTTCCACGAGTCCCATCAGGACGACCTGGAATCCTAGCACAGCAAGGATACTCTGAGCGTGGACCAGGTTCGGGTTTCCCAGGTAATCCAACCCTCCTTCTGAGAAGATTTGGGCTCCCGCCTTGAACCATACTGGCTCCTTGAAGTCCACGCTCACCCATTTTTCCAGGACCTCTGGCGTGATGCAGCCCAAGGCTCCAAGCATCGCCCACCTTCCATGGATAACCTGCCAAAGGGTCAATCACCAAGCAGTAAGTTTCATATTTCATCTTATGCAATGAAGTCAAACGCGCTTTAAAACTTAAAGGCGTATACTTTCACAGGTCTAAGTCACCAAAACGCTTTTAAACAGAATCACACTTTTTCCTTATTAATGTTGTCAAAATCGCGTTTTAAAACTTAAAAATTTACGCTTCCAGATCACCAAAACGCTTCTACGTAAAATCGTGCTTAGTGATGATTAGTTACCTCAAGAGCCCTGTTTCTGGCGAAGGCTTCTGGATCAGCAGACAAACCAGCAGTGTCCCAGCCATAATCACCTGGGAATTCACCAGTAAGATAGGAAGGGGTCTGAGCTGAGAAAGGTCCCAAGTATTTCACTCTGTCAGGTCCATACCACAGATCATTTCCCTGTCAAAACAATCTCAGTTCATCAAAATCAGCACAAACCCAATTGAGCTGATCCATGAGAGAATTTGATTCGAAATGGAAAAAAGGGTATTACCATGATGTACTTGGCATTCCCCATGGAGACTACATCTCTGAAAGGGTTTGCGTTTTGGCCCCTCTGTCCTAGAAATGGAGATGGGTTCAGCACCGTTCTGGATGCAGCCATAATTGTGGAAGCAGCCATGTTTCAAAACGAGGCTCTTGCTCTGTGTTTGCCACCACGTGAAGTTCCTCTCGACAGAGAGTAAAAGAGAGAGAGAGATCTTCAGCCGTGGAATGGAACTGTGTAGAGACTGTGTTTATATGAGATGGGAAATGGAGAATCAAAGGTGGGTAAACAAGTGGTGGAGGAAGGAGGCGAGGAGAGAGCCAGAGAGGAGCGTGATGTTGAAGGGGGAAGCAGCCAATGAGGAGGCTGCAAAAGATTTGAAGTATCTGCCACCTCATCTCCTTCTATCCACATATTTATCTCCCACTCTGCGTACTAACCAGCCCAGCCCATCTTTAGTTCCAGATACGGCCCAAATGATACATTAACGGTCCAGTCATTCACGGCCCAAAGAAAACCGACACGTGGCAGTAGCTTTATCTCGCATTTTAAACCTCCGGTCCAGTGGAAGTAGTCTGCTCAAATGAAACTGTATGCAGGCTGGTGGTAGGCCAGAGAGACACACTGCTAATTCTTCAGAAAGAGTTGTATCTTTCTGTCTAGCTCTTTCACAAGCAAGTTCGCGAATCACACCGATCCTAGTTGTAATTCTGATATATATTTGGTTAAATCGCATCTGCATTTAGGTTCGTTGACACTACTTCGGAGACAAAAATTTGAGCAACATTTGTTCGGTTTTACCAGATACAACGCTACGAGCACAACAAATGTGCCGCTCTCAGTTTTTACCGTCGCTGAAATTCGAGATCAACACATGATCCGCCGCACTCCATTCCCACAGCTACAATCAGCAACAGGGTCCTTCATTCTTCTCGGTTTTCACCTTCTTAAAGCCCCATAGTTCCTTGTTACCTGCAAGCAAACGAACTTGGTCAAACAGCCAGACATGTTTCCCCTTATCGACGACTTCTCCCTTCTGCCGAACTAGAAGTATCAGCCGACTGATTCTCCCTTGCAGACGGCATGTGAATTCTCAGAAAGGAGATGACTAACCCGTGTTTGGGACTTGTTCAATTGCTTAGTCCTGTCATCTTCATCATCATCGTCATCTTCATCATCTTTGCTCATTAGCATTCTCTTGATCCCTGCCGGGCTGTCTGCTTTCCTTCCACGTTTTGATGTTGCAGTCCCTCTACCTCTTCCTCTTGGTGCTGCAGCTCTTTTCCGCCCTTTGCCTCTGACCGGTTCATCATCGTCCTTGGAAGATAAAAGTAAGTCAGCACAAAATAATATGATGATTGCAAGATAACTGGATCAACCCACCTTTGAAGCATTCTTCAAACATTCAATAACCTAGATCCAACATGGCAATGTATGATACAAGCACCTGTCGGCATACCTCACTATCGTTAATTTCTTGTACTTCTGCCTCTTCACTAGAAGCAGAATCCACATCTTCATCCACATCAGCAATGCTTCTCACTGCAGCAGTTGCTGCAGCTGAAGCAGATCTGTAGTGGATAAACCAAAAATTAAAGGGAAAAACTAAACTTAGTTCATTCTAGTTACTCCAAACATAAACTCTAGGAAAAGTATAGCAAAATTCAGGGAGCATGAACGAATAATAAACCTTTGTGACTGCCGAAAACCTAGAGCAGAATCAAGAGTTGTCTGCTTCAAACTACTTGTTGAGCCTCTGCCTCTACCCCTTCCTCTTGTGGAAGTCTTGCTCTTGCTGGCTTCTGAAGCTTTACGAGTAGTAGTCCCTTTCCTGCCCCTGGCTGTAGACTTTGCCCCAGATACCTGGGTTGTTTCTTCATCATCACTAAAGGAAACTGCACTTCCCATTCCTGGTGCAGTTGTACTTCTGAAATCCTGAACAAATAGCAAAGATGTATAGACAGGTCCAAAAAGAACTAGTATAATAAAATCAAAACAGTAGAATAATTTGCATTATTACCTCCGTTGACTGCGCACTAGTTGAGGACATAAGATTATGGTGGGGCTGCTGAGACCTCGACTTTACACGTTCCTAAAGCAAATATGTTCCAGCATAATCATGAGATAAAGAATTCACACAGTTACACATGTACAGATTATAAGATCATGCACAAGAATTAGGGGCGTAATAGATGGACAAGTCATAGAGAAGCTGGCGAAACTTCTTCCTATGAAACATGCCGAACAAAAGGACTCCAAGGACCATTAACAACACAACTCTAAGTGATTAACCTATACACTCTGAGTTCTGTACTTCGGAGTCAATCCCAATGGAAGACAAAATAGAAAACAAGACAACAAAAGATATAACCCAGGCAAATCACGAATAATCTGTTGAGACATGTCCACCAATATCAACTTATGACGCCTCAACACGCAACTATCAACTAAATGACCCCTTTGAACTATGTAAATTTAATCACAGAAGGAACAGACAAACGACACGGGGAAACATCAAACTTAATTTAACAGTACCAGTGCAATCAGAAAATATGTAATGAAGTTTATAGAGCTTCCTTGCCTCTAAGCATTCTCCAACTTTAAGAATGAGATCATCCTCTTCAAATTTTTCGCCGTCTGTATCCTTGGCAAGTTTACTCTGAGTAGCCAGCAAACAAATCATTGTAAGTACCAATCTATCAAATATAAGGATAACCTTGTGGAGGAACACTACACTGACAGATGTTACAAGAAAAACCAATCATATATCTGAACATAGACTCTTGAGCATTGTGGTCCAAGAATGATGAGAAAAAGATGCTATGGACTATAACTCTAAAATTGAATCTTGAACAGGTATGGATACATACACGTGTTTCTTGGATATTGTGTTGCACGCATGTATAGAAAGCCATTTTGTCATCTTTATTAACAAAATTGTGCAGTGCAATATCCAAGTCGTTGACAGGAAGGATCTCCATTTTCTGGTGAAGAAAAGAAGATATGAGTCAGACTACCCAAACTACCAACAGTGAAACCCCTCTGGAACTATGAAGATTTGCATGATCAGATGCTTGAAATTACTTCTCATAAGTCATGGTATATTAATGAGAGTAGGAAAAAAGATATGGCCAATACATTTTAAACATGAAAGGAAAAGTTAAAAAAAAGAAAGAAAGATAGAGGCTAGTTACCAGATTACTTTCAGCTACTAGAGCCTCTATGTTTTGCTGATTTAATTCTTCTGGACGAAGGCGCTCAGCATCACTTATTACAGCTGCAATTGGTCCATATACAAATATGTTACACAACCATTACAAATTCAATTCGATATAAACTGTATGAGAGATAGTGGCCCACAAAACTTGTTCCTCCCCTCCTTTATGTGAATGATACTAGCCAAGAGATCCAACACCAGAGAACACAGTATCTAGGAGTAGCTGATCAAGCACCATGGACGCAATCACAAGAGGTCAGCATGCCAAGACTGAACAATAAAACAAGGAAATGAGGATAGTTACACTCATTCCGACCCTTCTTCGAAGCCTTTGAGAATATAAGAATATCTTGAGGATTAGCAACCTGAAAAACATTTTGGAAAAAAGAAGTCAATGCTCAAATGCTAACTGGATAAATGTGCAGTAGCTAAAGGGCTGAAGTTACCTTTCCGACATACTTCTGCCCAAATCGCTGAGGATTTATTGTCATAAAGCCAGAGTAATCCACCTGCAAAAGTAACTAAAAGGCTCAAATGACTCATGCTGCTACCATATGTATCTTACTATGGCTCTATTTTTCCCTAATTCTTTCAGAAGGATGGGATGAGAGGCTGCTTGGTAAGGTGGTCAGCGAAAGAGAATATGACATACAGCAGTATATTTTAAATTACCAATTGTCAGCAGCTCAAATAAGCAATGGACTCTAAAGGAAGCAAAAAGGTCTGTGTGTACTTTGACAAGAGATATTATTGTTTCGCACAAATATGTATTGCGGAACCCATTTGTACATACTGCCTAGTCAGGTATGAGGTGCTCATAATGAAGATGTCTTTCAAAATTGGTTCAATCATATGAAGGTGACAACATACAAGCTCATTCATGCTGCAAAGGTAATCGTGAGGCAAGACCAAGAGAAACTAACAGGGCGCATGCCCTGAGAGCTGACAGCTCGAGGTATAAGTGCTGCAAAATTCATAGCAAAATACAAAACCTAGATACATGAAAAACTTTACCTTGACTCTGACCAGTGGAAGCTTGAGCTCAGATCTGCCAATGGCATTTCGCCTAGACTTATCTATCAGAGTACTGACCTGGAAAATTCCAGAAGTCACAATTAGCACAGTTACCCAAACATTTTCATTGCTGGAACAAAAGAGTCATTTGAAGACCGAAAGGAACTGGCAAAAAAAACAAAGTACTGTGTTTTTTCAATTTTAGAAGGCATAGTATACCACTTTGTCCAAATGTTCAAGAATTGAGTTTTGGTCATTTGGGTCGATATCCTCTTCTTCCTTCAGCACGATCTGCATTACATGGAATAGCATGTTGAAAAGTGTTGTTTATGGGTAACCAAAAAGGGAAACCTTGATCAAATTACCTCACTGTACTCAAAGGGCCTCACTGATGTCAGAGGTATCTTGGTTGGACGATATTGATTTCCCTAATGGTAAGAGATAAGAAAGCAGAGTGAAGAAGCATTGAGGTATGCAATTTGAAATCTGCAGATTGAAGAAAATGAATGCATTTTCCACTCCTAACACCACCTTAATTTCTAGAAGCAGAACATGCTTAGGCTTTGATTCTCCATCAATCAGTGATGTTGCTACTGAAGAACCCGGTTGTGTGATGTGAAATCCCATGCCTGGAACTTCCTTAAGAAAATAAAAATCCATTTCCAGTTAGCTAGGAAATGAAAATATGACTTGAATTGAGTGGCATGAAGAGCTGAGAATGGCACCTGGGGATCAACTAGACATTCATGTTCATGGCCCCACACAATGAAGTCCAGAAACCTTGGCAGAAAGTGTTCATTTATTGCATTCTTTGGGTTCGTCTTCACCCTGTAGATTACAGCTGCTGAGTTAGTTTCAGAAGAAGGTTTGAGCTAATATAGGCATCGTGACTTTAATCCAACAAAGATAGAATGTAACAGGAACTTTCGATTTCGCAACCATGGTATTCTATAGTTCGACAGGATATATATAATAAGTGTCAGAAAGACTATGGAAGAAGAGAAATAGATTTCTTCATTCAGGCATGACAAGTACGAATAGCGCACATAACCACACAGGGACTGACACAACATGCAAACAGAAGCACACCCTCATTAAGACAGCATCTTTATCCAAGGAAGGTGTAGACCCTTATGAGCTTCAATGCATGATAGCTAACCTGTTCTGATGAAGTACCAGGATATTAAACCAATCAGAAACATCGCAACCTTCTTGAACTTCAGGCCTCATCCATTGTACAGCATGTGGAGTCTGAAGGAAAAATAGAAGTACGTAACACATTCAGGTACCCTTGATATTGGAAGTTGAGAAGAAGGCAAATTTTTAATATGAATCACCTGAAACATCCTATTCAGCCGCTCGTCCCTAATGTTCCCAAGCCCATACAAAGCAACATTCGTTGAACCCTATCAATGAAAATCACACATTATTCATGCTATAAATATGAGAAAAGGAATGACATTATTATAGACAGAAATAGTCACATACTGACCTTCTTTATAAGGATGGGATACAGTGTTATTTGACCAACCCCTGAACCCTCAAGAATCATTTTCCCAAAGTAGTTCACGAGATTGCAGGCTGACAGGATATCAATTGCAGATAGGTTGTCCTGTCACCATGACCATGAAAGCTAAATAAACAATAATTTCAGACACTATATTATACAAACATAACAAATAAACATTTAGAGAAGATAAACAATAGTCGAATTTAGCTTAAGCTTCAAAATTCCAAGATGTAATCTTCATTTGGCCGTTGAGATTAAAGTAGCAGTGGCACTATTATGCCCAGAAATAAAAATAAGGCACACCATAATGCGTCGATACAGCCAACTATTAGAACAAAGTACAAGTATATGCCCGACGCCAAAATTTCCACAAAGCAACATGATTCGGTAAACAAGACGATGATGCGGAAGTCAACATCCATGATGCACTTGCACCTTACGGTTCCTCAAAAACAAAAGATGCATCAAGAAAGGTACATACCACACCAGCAGGGTCATCATGATTTCCATGAATGCTAAACACTGGAAGACCAATATTGAAGTGAGGATCTTCATAGTTTACGTGGCCAAATCTGTCAAAAACAAACAAGAGAAGCAATGAAAAATTGAATTCATTAAGAGTTCATGGGAACTAAAGAGCGGATAAGTTCTCACAGATTCGCAAAATTCACGGTCTGATCGCTGACAACTTGAAACTGCACTGGTCGATCATTCAAACAATGCCGGCGGAGGATCTCAATGGCCCTAACTAATGTTGTTCTTGAGGGCTTGTTTTCGTGAAAAAGGTCCCCACCAAGGAGCACAAGGTCAACCTGTTATCAGATAGGACATACAGATGTAGCACTCTCAGCATCTTTATTCACCTATAGGACGGCCAAACAAATAAAAAAGGCAACGCTTTCTTTTACATGAACTACAGAATACCTATATTCTCCTTATTCTCATACGTAAACTGATAACATGAAGGTTCAAGAGTACACAATTTTAAGGCTTCCATATATGTTCTCAATTTTAAGGCTTCTTTTTATGCCTCATCAGCAACATAAGAGATGTACAGTAGAGACACTGTGGTGTGAAGCAAAAGATGAGTACCAAACGGTTAAAATTCCAACCTGCTTTTCATCCGCTATTTTGCATATCTCCTCAAATGCTAGGAAAGAATCATGCCTCCGCACTTCATCCTTCTCCATGTAACCGAGATGGCAGTCCGTCGCCACAAGCACGCGAAGTGTGTTCGAATTGTCCTCCCTGGAAAAAAAAAAACATCCATCTATCATCACTAGCTGACATGCACTCACTTTTTCTTTCAACATAAACCTAAATTAGGGATTTACTTCTATAACATTAGATGATCATCTTAAACCAGAACAGCTTCACCGTGCAGCCAGAATAGGAGAAAGAAGTAACAAAAGAGAATAACTTACCTTGGCAGGTCTCCCATGTCGCCCAAACAAGAGCTAGTGAAAAAGAGCCAATCGCTGGAATCGGTCCTTGACTTACTGCTAAGCGGCAAGTTGATAGAATCAGCGAACCTGCTTGGAGTTCAATCAAGGTATCAGGTAGCGCAGAAAGCTGGAAACAAGTAAGAACAAGGTTCAGAGCTTCTTGCGGTTCGCGAAGTAGAGGACCTCATTCGATTCCATAGATACAGTCCACTTTTCTCAGCAAACAAACAGCAAACACGAGGGAGAGCGGAGAAGAAATGCGAGCGTAGACGGGGGTCGTACAGTAGAAGTTTACCTCTTTGACTGGCTGCGACGGAAGCAAACGCTAGAGAGTGAAGGGGAAGGGGGATTTTTGCGATGGCGGGGAATTTCAAAGACCCTGGCGACCTGACAGAGAGAAAATGGAGTGGGAAGGAGAAGGTGGTCTGGGATTTTGTACCGGGGTTTTTTTTCTTCTCTCGCTTTACCGATATGATTAACCGGACCGATCGGTCGAACCCAACGGCGGTTAAGAAAAAATAAGACATATTCAAAGCCAGCGGGAAGGGAAGCCATTGCCTTGCTTGCCGCCAACTCCATTACCCACAATAATTTTAGCTTTAGGCCACCATTTTTTTCTCTTCACCCTTCACGATCTCCATTCCTTTCCTTTACCCCCACGAACCCTTGTTCCCTCTCCGCAAAATATCCCAAGCTCTGCGCGCGGAGGGTAAGGGAAGGAAAATCGCAAGAAAATCCAAAGAGGAAAGTGAAGGAAAATCTCCCCTCCTTTGCCGACGGCAGGGGAGACATTTCTAAGAGAACAGAGGCCGGGGACAACACACATTCCTTCCCATGGCGCCAAGCCTCCGGGCCTGCTTCCGCGGCAGCAAAAGCTCCTCCGACCTCAAAAGAGACCATCTTTCCGCCTCCACCGCGTCCCAGACCATCGAAGCTTCGGCGGAGGAGCATCGCCGCGGCCCTGTTCTAGTGGAGCTTTTCTCCTCTCAGGGATGCGCGACCTCGCCGGAGGCAGAGGTGCTGCTGTCGAGGCTCGGGAGAGGGGATTTCGCGCTGGAAGCACCCGTGATCGTGTTGACGTTCCATGTGGATTATTGGGATCACGCCGGCTGGAAAGATCCCTACGGTTCCAGCCAGTGGACGGTTCGGCAGAAGGATTACATTGAGTCTCTGAACCTCGACACCATGTTCACGCCACAGGTCATCGTCCAAGGAAGGTCTCATTGCGCGGGGAACGAGGAGGAGTCATTGCTCTCTGCCATCATGAGCGCCCAGAGGTTCCCTTCCCCTGCTTTTCAGGTCATCACTTCCCCTGCCTTTTTCCACCCTCTGTTTCTTCGTTTCTTGGTTTAGGAATTAGGATCCAGAGAAATCCATAAGATTTGAGGGGATTTTTGTTTTGAGGGGAAGTTTCAATCTGAAATCTTTCTCGACAATTTGAGTCAGAGATCCTAGGTATTGACGTTATGTTGTTAGAATCGCGATTTTACATTTCTAGATCATCAAAATGCTTCTACCGTAGAATCGTGCTTTTCACTTACAATTATAGTTAAAATCTACACATTAAACCTTAAAAGTATACATTTGTATACTTCTAGATTAACGAAACGCTTCTACATAGAATCGCACGATTTTAATTGCATTGATTTGACATTGTTGATCATATTCTGAAACAGGCGACGTTTCAGAGGCCGTCGCCGGAGACGCTGCAGGTGTCGTTGTCGGGGCCGTTGAGGAGCAAGATAGACGGGGAAGGGGTGAACGTGATGGTGGCGCTGTACGAGAGCGGGCTGGTGATGGACTGCGAGAGCGGGGAGAACTTAGGCATGGTACTGGCGAATGACTACGTGGTGAGGAGGCTGGAGAAGGTTGCCACCGTGAAGGATATCTCGGCCAAGAAAGTGGTGACGGCGGGTGCTCAGTTCTCCCTGTGGGAAGGTTTCAACGGGAGTAAATGTGGTGTGGCCGTGTTTCTGCAGAACAACCAGCACCAGATTTTCGGGTCTCAGAACTTTCCCCTGCCGGATTCCATATGAGGAAAAGAGTCTTGAGTTCTTCTTCTTGTATGAAAAAAAAAAAGGGTATTGTAATCTTCATCTGATTTTCGAGGCTCTCTTATGCACAGCCTGATGTCTTCAGATATAAACTTCTCTTCCATTGATTCGTGTGAAATGAGATTTATGCTGAATGTCTGATTGCTTTCACTGAGATTTCTGAATTGTCTACATTGAAGGATTCACCTTCGTTTCCTTTTCAAAAAGAAAGACAACTTCTTCAGGATGAATCCGTCTGCTGCTCCGACTTTGCTGTCTGGCCAAGTACTTTTCCCTCCTCTTTCTGAAAAAGAAGAAATACCCAAATGAGAAATTGTTGTGGCAGGCAGCTGATCCAAATGGGATCTTCATGTTTTTTTTTATGCATATAGAGTATCATAAGAACACCACCCTCAATATCCTCTCTACCATTACTTGCTCCTTTTGTTCTTCAAACTGCATCCATTCCCACATTGTCAAACCGAAGAACCCAACTTTATCACTTCGTATTGAATACCAAGTAATTAAGAAGCAAAAGGAATAATGTTATAGTGAAGATTTACAAGCTCAGGAACACACTCCATTCCTCCTTTAACCTTCAAGCTCATGATTTTGAACTCATCTCTGCACTTCTGCAGCTCCCCTGCAGCTTGCTTCTCATTGTTGCTCTCTGGCTGCTCCACAAACTTGAACACTGCCGCAATTAGACTCTCTTCCGGAGCAATAATGCCTCCCGGTGGGCGCATGTAGCAGCTCTTTGGGGCAAATAACTGAATAAAGGTGGAAGATCATGATAATACTAAACAAAGAAATTTACTTTAACTCAATAACTCATTAAGTAATAGTTAATGAACAAATTCCTTCATTAAGGATACGACTCTAAAATTAGTAATTAAGTCCTTGCGAATAACATATTGAAGGACCGGTATTCTATCTAAGGACGCGTGTCATGATGGAACAATAAAACTTCGAAAAGGTCACCTATCAAACATAACATTTTGTACCTTTCGGGACATCTCAAGCATCAAATTAACATTGGAATTCCCCGAAGTCGAGGGCATCTTCCATGTCAAAATAGTATGAAGAGTGAAGAACACAGCCTGAAAAGTGCTAAAGGGTTAGCTAGCCATTGATTGTGATGCGCATATTGTTTGTTAAATGCTTGGGTGGAAGTTGAAGGAGGTACTGGTAAGGCCACCATATTGAATGTTATTAATGGCGGGAAACCAGAATTAGGTCTTAAAAAAAACTAACTACCTGGATGGCGCATTTACAATTGTCGGCTCGGTTGGTTAGTTGGGTTAGTCGAGTAATGACAAGTTCGTGTTCTCATTGACATTGTTATCTGGTAATGGTCATCCTTCAGGGAGACAGAGGACTAAGGAGATCACAGAGCTGGAGTAAGTAAAATACACTCAGACGAAGAGATGGGTGATGAAAAGAACTGTGACGTGACAGCCAATGAAGAAATTAAGCACCGGCAAGTTACCAAGGACCTCCTATATATGCTTGTCTCCACGATCCTCACCGGGGAGATCCTCCAGCCCATTTCTTCTCTTTTCAGTTCAACCATAAACAAATTCTTAACGAAATGGAACGCATCTCTGCCTCCGTATACACCAAAATGAAACGCTACTGGAAGCGGCAGAGCTACCACCGCATCGGCGGCGGTTCTTCCGCTCGGCGGGCAGAGCTCGGAGGTGGGAGGCGGCGGAGGAGGATGATGTCGTGGCGGATCAAGATCAAGCCCAAGATCAAGCTCAAGTCGCTCGACAAGCCGAACAAGTTCGTGGAGTGGCTCCGTGACGCTTACGTTAGGATGATGCTTGGATTCGCCAACTCTGCCGCCGGCGGGATGGTCGGGGACGGCGTTTCTTCGTTGGGGAGGAAGGCGGTTAAGGAGTACAATGAGAAGGCGGTGATCCTCGAGTTCTACAAATCGCTTCACCTGGCTCGGTCGAATCGCCATCAGTTGTCTTCTCCTTCGATCGCTGCTATTGCAGAGTAGCAGCACTAGCAGAGGATCACTAAGTTGCAATTTTAAATTAATTAGTCAAGATCATCAAGAACAGAGCTGCACTGATAGCTTCTGCTCTGTTCTTCGTTCAATTGATGTAATGCAACTTCAACTGACGATCCAGAGAAGAACGACATAGCAATATGGTTTCTATAAATATGTCACATGCAATAACTAGAGCAAACATTGGGCTCAAATTCCGCCATCCAACTACTACTACTACTATCAGAACTATTCTTACATTTCCACAAACACCAGGTTCATTACTTTCTGCTTTTCGTAACGAAATCGGAATTCAGAATCTGGTGGTGGTGGGACCATAACAGCTTAACCCCATTACCCTGTCGAAAGAGGACTCTGTTTTCTTCAGAGCTCCACCGATGCTCGCCATCTCCCCAGCTGAAGCAGAGGATGAAGCAGGGAAAAGGTTTCTAGCGGAGACGAGGGACCTGAGTTTGGAGTTGGCATGGTGGTGGATTGATCTCATGGCGTGATTCCATCGGCATATCCCTTGATCTTTAAGTGCCTCCACCGCCCCTATGCTCGCCGCCACCATCCAGGCTTTGCTCGCCGCCGCTGCTGAACTCATATTTGATCTCTCTCTGTTTTCAGGTCGTTGCTCTGCTTTTGGTTAAAAGGTCGTTGGTGGCTGGTGAGGGACAGGGAGACCTATATATATGTGGAAGAAAGGGTGGGGATTTTTCTAGTAGCTTGGGGAGTGAACTCCGGTTAGCCGGTGGATTTGGAAGGTGGGCGGAGAGAAAGCAAAAAACAATGGGCTGGGGTGGAGCAACGGTCGGCAGGAAATGATGCAGTCCATGGTTTTGGCGCAATCCAGTTCCAAGCAACTTTCCGTTCCTTTTTTCTAGTTTACTTTGCTCAAATGAAGTTTCCTTTCCTTTCCTTTCCCCCTGTTTCAGTTGGTCATACGAAGAAATAATACCTTGATCCTTGTTTTTGTTATTCTGATTCTAACGGCTGAGGAAAGCAAGATTGCTTCATACATATAAGCCGCAACAGTAGGCGATCGAATTGCTGACCGCAAGACTATACAAGTATACATAACTAAAGAACGAGGTGACTAACCACTACACCACATCCTGTTGTGAGGAAATGTAGATGCGAAAAATACACATTCAAATACCTGAGATGAGCTTCCAATTTGTGTACAACAGCATCTGGTGCTAATCTACTATGCTGTTAAAGTTGTGTATCAGTAGCAGCGAATGCTACAGAAGCGGGAAGAACGAAGGAAGCACACAGCATCCATTTCCCAGGGGCGACAAGCCGAACCCTTCGCATTTCGACATTCACTCCCACCTCTCCCAGTGCCATTCTTATCCGCTGTCGGGTCCACAATAAAATGCCATGCAAACAAATTCATCAGCAAGGAATAGACGGATAATACAATACAACGTTCCCCTTTTATCTTTCTGCAGCAATAGATGAACACACCTCGTGGAAGTCGAATTCGGGATCTTTCGCTTTGGAGAATCCATAGACATGGATCGTCGGGAAAGTATAATCTTCTCTCAAGCTTGTATCATGGAATACACCCCTGAAAGCATCTGGCAAAATACATGGACACACATAAACATTCTGAAGCGCAACTCGGAGTTATATGGTTTCCAGCGCTCAACTTGATAAATGATACACTGGAAGTGTACTTGAACAATGGATTGAAGAAAAAGACTGAAGTGCTAGTAACAAGGTTAAAGGGAATGTGTAGTAACAAACCTAGATATTCCGCTGCATCTTTTGGCAAGTTCATCACCACTTGTGTGATTGACTGAGCTTTCTCACTCGTAAACATAGCATCAATGAACCTTCTCCCATCCATGTTGAAAACCTAGAAGAATGAGAAATTCATCTTCCATTGAGTGACAAGTAATAATAATTGCAACTATTTCATGGATTTTCACAAGATCAAACTACATATTGCTAGAAAGCGCTTTAGAAATTTGGGAAGCAACCCCCATCCCATTTGAAAATGGTGTTCCATTACTGTCCAATTTGTCCGCAAAACAAGACGCTGTTCAAAGATGCCATTCATCTAACCAAAGCTCTAGGAGACATGGCCAAAAGCATAGTCTTATAAAAACCAAAAACAAAACAAAAGATGCCATGTCTATCATTAAACAAATAAAAAATGACACAGAATCAGCAACCAACATTTTGAACTGCTGCATTTTCCACAGTCTTCCAACAGCTTTGGAAGGGGAAATATTACTAGGTTAATTGATGAATGGGGGTCAATTATGCCGTACCTTAATCCTCTTTTCAAGCTTGTTGAGGACACTATTCCTGTCCAAGTAATCAACCGCATAAGGGTTCAAGTCATTAGCATAAACCCGTCTTACTATCCTTGCAGCAGATACAGCTAATGGACCAACACCAGAGAAGACGTCACCTATCCAGTGAAAATTAAGTATTGTGAATGGAAGTCCCATCAGTACAAGGAATGGAATTCAAATCGGCAAAACTGTTACTGAGACCATTGGCATAATAAAGAGAAAGGTACAAGAAACACAGAAATGTGACAACAGGGCACGCTTGGGACTACAAGTTAACATAAAATGTTTCATAAGTATTTCTGTATCCATTTCATAATTTAAAATAAAATGCCCTTACAGAGGCCAGCAGACCCAGTTAATCTAGAATAAGCCCGACTCTGAGAAATGGAAAGAAAATTGTAAGACATACAAACAACATCTTTGTGTGTAAATCCCCGCAGAAGTCTTTGTCTTTCAGTTGCAAGCCGAGAGTTCCAATACCTGCATAAAAATGAAAGGGTGTTACCTGTCTTAGTATATTCGCTTCTAACTTGATGATTAAGATGAGAACCATGGAGGAGACCCTTTAAAAAACTATTGTTTCTGAATTCTGCAGAAAAGTGTAATACAATATACAGCATAGCATTCAATGGCAAGAGAAAATCAAGAAAATGTTTTAGTAGTAAAGAGTAAATGTCAAGATGATAAATGGAGCAATACTGATAACCCCTTCGGAAGCTCAAGAATATTCATACCCTTAGACTAAAATGAGTACAAGAATTTCAATTTGAATTTATTGATTCACAGAGACACAATTGATGCCCCCTAAATACAAACAGGAATACAGAAGCTGCTGTAACATATAGTTTACAAATCAAGCACACACTATAAATACCCACAATTGTATGTAGTTTCTCAAAGCACAAAAACACTTAGAAAAGAACTATTATGATTAGGAAAAACATTAAACCTGTACAATTTTGAAGAGAGCAAGAAATCTTACACTGTTGCTAAGTCAACATGGAATTTCAATCCATTCTCAACTACCATCGTCACAAGAGAGCGATTCCCTGCTAAAACTTCTAGCTGCATTGTTCTATAGTCACTATGTATGGCATCAATCTTATTCACTACTGTTTGTATCTTTGGTTTGTTCTTATCCAGAATAACCTGTAGAGCAACATGCCAAATTTGAGAAAAGATGGGACTGCTGCCCCATTCCATATATAGCATCAATACACTAAATAAGGAAGTACATGTAAGATTGATCACCTTTGCTATAACCTTCTTATACGGTAGATGTTCGTCTTTCAGGTTCAAATGTGCAATGTGCCCTACTGTTTCAAATGCAGATGGAATAATCATATCCTTTGGCAGCAAGGCCTCCAAAATCTGCAGAAAGTTGGTTATTAGAGCTTCCCAGGGTCTGGCACTCCTACCAGTTACCATGCCTCAAGCTATCGTCTAGGAATGCCGGATGAGACAAATTAGATAGCTTAATACAAGCTTACAGAAACTGAAAACCTCTTCATTGGATAGGTTTAATGAATACACATGCATACAAACGCTCTGCAGTAGTAGAACTTGAAGTAAAGGCATTGATGTTGATTTTTAATTTGATTAATATTTTATTGGAAGCTTAACTCTATGCATTCAGCCTTGTCTGGTTTGAATAACTCAGATCATATCTAAAGGAAGCTGAACTGATCCATGGACAACAACTAACACAGGTCAGCCTGATCAGCTGACATCGTCTAGTATTGAAGGAAGTGAAACTTTCAAAGAATATGCTTGGGTACCTCATTCATAAGCCAGTAATCATAGAACAAAGTGAGCTTGCATCTAACAAGCTCAAAGGAATGTGCTAAGTTCTCGCTCATAGCTTCCTCCAACGCAGCCTGAAAGATGTACAAAGACAACATGCTATCAATTTTGGCATCATCTTATTAAAATTAGAGAACAGTTTACACCAATGGATTAAATTTTGGCACCATCTTATAAAACATTATAAGAATCCCATGGAGGAACTGGGACAGAAGCACTCCACTGCGATTTATAGTAATGTACAATCGAAACAATGACTCACTGAGTTCAAATGAAAGCAACCTTGACAGCTTGGGGCAACTCTTCCAAAGTTTTGTCAGCATATCTCTCATCCAAAAGCAAAAGCCTCGTTGAACCCATCCATCTCTTCCTTCCTTTAAACTCATCACCTAACAATCCCTTCCACTCGTCTCCATTGCCTTCTTCCACAACCTCCACCACTGCAAACTCATTGCTCCCATGCCTTCCCTCTCCATCACCATCTCCTCTGCCTCCTTCCTTCTGTTTCATCTTCTTCTTCTTAGGCCTTGAAATCTTTGCCAAGTTCCTAAACTTAACAAAACCCTTAGCATTAAATTCAGTTGCCAATCTCTCCCTGTACAGAACAGGACTCAATTCCTCACCATCTGTCTCGGCCTTCCCATAAATCCTCCTCTGCAGTGAAGTGAGCTTACTGGCTTCTTCATCTTCGCTCCCACTATGAGACTCTCCTAACAAAGGGACAACTTCCTCTTCCACTTCGTCTCCTGGAACTCTGGCAATGTTGCGAATTCTAGGCCAATTCAACAAATGCCCTCGAATTCTACTCTCAAGAACAAAACAGTATTGGGAAGGAACCCGAACTGCTGCTATGTCGAACACCCTAGTAAAAGCCTCTTTATCAATCACACTATCACCGTCCTCTTCTTCCTCTTCCTTGCCCTTACAATGAAAATAACGATGTTCCTGCTCTTGCTGCCAACCCGAAGGTGGGAGATTACCCTTTATAAGAGATGGTCCATAAGGAAGGGAATCGGTATCGGTTCTGGAGCAGAGAGCAACATGACTGGAGAAAGCAAGTCTGGGGAAGTGGCAGAAATGGTTTGTTGTCGGAAAAATGGCTAAACAAAAGGGAGAAGTGGGGCCAAGTATGAACTTGGAAACCATGGGACGGAAGTTCATGCTTCCTTAAGCTTCATGGAAAAAAGTATGGTGGATGAAGAGGCAAGGGACAGATTCAGTGTTTCTGACATACCCAAACTGAGATCCAACAGTGCGAGATTCTCAAAAGTAATCACTGGAGTAATTGCAATAAACAGGCTGTACACAGACTACAAACTCCCAGAACTGCAGCTAGCATGAGCCAGTCACTACTCAAACTGAAAGATTACATAACAAATCAAAGTTAGTAGATACATACATAAAGCACCTATATATGAAGTATGAATACACGTTCATACTCATTCAACCGGAAAATCAAACAACTTTCAAGCAACATGATAAAAGACTTGAACCAAACAACCAAGAACAAGAAATTTTTGCTTCTGAATACTGCTACAGACAAGACAAGCCCAACACTTTCAGGTCAATTCTTCAATATTTCGGCTGCATGTTTCCCTACAGTTCTATTATAACCCGGTGAAGTTCTATGGTATTCTCAGTGAGGAATTGAAGCGTAATCCGCAATGACCAATGAAACAAAGCAGACACAAATGAAAGAACCATATGCAAGCAAATCAACGAAGTTCCTGTTCGTGTACAGGGAGCGACGCATTAGACAAGAAGAGTGGAAAGGGACTTACCCTTGGTCGTGTACTGTTCCTTCTCCCAACTCCGAAGCGATAGAGAAGAGAAATCCAGTGGAGGCGCCAACCGTCGAAGGAGAGATAAGCAGCAGAGATGCTATTAGGCTGAAACAACAAATAACCAACGTGCTAACTGCGCGGGCCGTTATTAACAGAAACTGGGCGGGCCGGGCTACAAGCCCATATCTAGGCCCGCCAGAAGGCCCAGAACTGACTGATATTTTACAGGCAGCGCCACACATATCTCATCCATTTTACGATTCCCCAGACTTCCCGTATCAATAGCCACGAACTCCGGCGACACTTCCCAAGAAAAAGGGTAGCAGAAATAAAGATGGGGATTTCGCCGTCGAAACAGGCGGAAACCACTCTCAGCAGCTCGTCGGCGTTCACCGCCGCCTGCGAATCGGCGTATTCCCACTGCCTTTCCCTAACCCAGCACGCCTTCCCAGGCGTCCTTCCCTACCAACTCCCGACTGCCTCCGATCAAATCCACTCCACTCTCACCACCACTGACAAAATCCCACTCATCGTCAATTGGGTCCCCACGCCGCCGACCCAGGCCCAAGTGGACTCAGCTCTCAAGGTCGTTGCGGCCCTCCGACGAGCCCCTAAGAACCCGGCCCAACAGGAGGCGGAGGCGCCGGAGGAAGAGCCGATGACGCTGGGAGCGGAGGAGTTTAAGCAGTGGGCGGTGGTGCTGTTCGCGGATGCCGTGGCGGAGAAGGCTGGGAAGGCTCTCCTGCAGCGTGTGCCGATTGGAGTGGCCGGGATAGTTGGGATTGGGGCGGTGGCGAGGCCCGGGAAGAATCTGGTAGGGGCGGCGATTGGAGTCTACGCGCTCGGGGTCGTGACTTCCGTTTACCTGAGTTTGTCCGGCTAAACGTCCGTTTGTTTGTGTCAGTAGCCAGCCAATAACTAGTTGACATATGTCTCTTCTTGTGATAATTTTAATATTTTATGTATAGTGAATCAACGTCGTCGATTAAAATATATGAGGCTCAGGTTATACCGCCATTTCCTGCAATCCAATCAAACGGAGCCGCCGGCCAATCAAATGCAATTAAAACATGATTACGATTAACCAGCTACAGCTACTGGTGAACAGTAAGCAATCGAGTAAAAAAATAATGTTCTGCTAGCATAGGATTGATGAAATGCTGACCACCGAATTCGGAATGACTTCGGCAGCAAGTCATGTGAGATGCAACGTAACTCGCATTTGGCTCAACACGGTTCGCCAAAGTTCTCGACCAACGATCAGCATTACCTCGATTTGATGCATCAAATCACAGCAAGAAAGCTCCAGCACAGCCCAGAGCTTTCTGGCACCAACTACATTCTACCCAATAGAACCCAGAGAGAAAATTGGTAGTGCAGAAGCTGCATCAGCCAAGCTCAAGCCACAAGGGCAAAATGTGCAGTTTCAAAGTTCAGTTCGAGCTTAACACGCGCTTTGCCTATCCAACAGAACTCAACAAGTTATGGAAAAAAGGCATTCTTCTCTGTCCTGATCTCATATTGAAAGACTTCAACGATACTGATGTTAGAAAACCTGGCAGGCCGATTTCAGTTGTTGATCCTCTCGAAGAAGTACAAGTAGCCCATGTCCTTTGGCGGGTTTACAGAGACTCCGACCTTGGTATCGTTGAAAATCACCCATCTTCCCTCCTTGAGAACATGAGCAACGTAATGCCCGCATTGTGTTGAGGTTCCAATGTGTGAAACTATTCCAAAGAGTCGGTATTCTGCAAGCAAGAAAGGAAGGGAGTCATCAGTTGAGCATCAGGGGTAGTCATCAGTTGAGCATCAAATTATGAGGAAGAAGGTCAAGTGACTAACTCCCTCCTCCATCCGGTAGCCCAGCAGTAGTATCAGCCGTAGGAGTACTGCTTGAAGTAGTAGTATCCATGTCAGATGAGCCGGAGCCACCAGGATTGTTGAATATCCAATCTGTAGCTTTCTCAATGTCACCACCCTGAGGATTTGAACAGACAGAAGAAAAGGTACTTAATGATCCAGTCCTACCTTGTGCACAAAAGTTGTCCAATGTAATTCACCCTCTTCAAAAAAACAGTGTCGCAGCATTAAAATATTACCGAAGCTTTCAGTGCCTTCTTAGCCACGTCTTCTTCAAATCCAAATGAGATCAGGGTCTGAACTGCCGACTGATCAACAACTTCAGCTCCTCCTTGTGAACCTTTGGAAATTGGAGCCTCGATATCTGTAGCATAACTCATGTCACGTTATTGGAATAATTACTCTTCACCCAAGAAAGTGTTGCTCCACCAATCAAATTATACATGTACCTGGGTCATCCATATGAGAGAGTAACCAATTCATTGCCTCTTCTACCCCTGCATTTAGTGTGTTTATTGCAGCCTTTTGACAAGGAATATGGCCAAACCCCATCGACATAAGCTGGGCAACGATATCATCGTTAGCTGCAACTTCATTTGATTCTGCCTCAGTCTCGGGGCCTATGCATCATAGAAAATGACGTATAAGAAAAAACTAGATCAGCTCAAGTTACCATGCTGTATAGCAATAGGTAACTCCTTAAAATACTGTGCTATCCTTAAATCCAATCAATAATAGATGGTTAACAACAGTATGATCTGAGCATAGCTAACAGTAACAAGAGCCGATTAAGTATAATTGAACTTGGTATAACCAACATCAGCAAAAATAAAATAAAAGGAAAGCAGAGCAAGATACAGGAAGAGGCATACCACCATCTGGCAATAGCTCCTCCCCAGGTTGAAGGCCCTTGCTTCTCATGTGACTTATATCGATAATGTCAGGAACATCAATATACACATCTGCATGGACAAAATTGATGTGAAAAGATAAGGGAACCAGTAATTAAAGGGTGAATTTTTTTTCAAATCAATAAAATGACATAATTGTACCTAGCTTTTTGGGAACCCATCCCTCCTCCATAACAAATTTGCGCATGTGCAACACCAAGTAATCAGGAAACGAAGTTAGACCAGCTTTCCTGCAACAGGAGATAAAAACATAGTTTAGCCGGAAAATCCACAAAGAAGTCATCAAAATTATTTTAAAAAATATCAGGAAAAGTCGGGAACCAGAGAGAATAGCTTACTTTATAGCCATTGTCTTCGCCCTCAAAGCAGTGCTGTAAAAATCCTGTATCTCCTCCGGAGCTGAAAAGTTAGCCAGGCATGCTTCTAAAGGTACCCGTGGGCGTACAATTTCGTTGCTGGATCTGACAAAATTAGATACTCTAAGCACAAATCTTACAACTATAGAAGAACAGACGACACAAGGACAGTGCATAAACTTACGCATCTTTCCCTTCAGAACCTTTCTGTGCTTTCTGGAAGGCTTCTACTTCTCCTGCATCCAAAAATGTTAAACTCATCAGGTAAAAGGGCTTATAGATGCAAATCAGAGAAAGAAAAAAAAATATATTACCTTTATTTGTAGCTTCATGCAAGGGAATATTCAAAGATAGAATGTAATCATGCCTTCGGTTATAAGCAACCTTCCCAGAAGTACATTGTATACGCTCTTCAATACCAAACTTAAAACTCCTTGAAGGATCGGCATCAGGTTTCGCAACATTCCCACGCTCAACATGGTCAAGGAAGTGTAGGAAGAATTCCAATGCATCCTACAATAATAATCAGAGTCAGCACTTTACGAATATGTTCATGGACACGAAACATTTCATATATAACAGCCCATATATAGACCATTGTTATAAATATGAGTTCCCATCTTCCCAATCACGTCATCGAATTAAACAAACAAAAAAATGGTTTACTAGATAACGATGATGCTCCCACCAGGAAAAAGAAATAACAACAATCACGAGTATCTAACTACAACACAAAGGTGTGCATTGAAGCAATTTATCTAAACCAGAAGAACTTAGAAATATCAAATGCGTACAAATAAAAGATGCATATATAGTTAATCATTCCTAAAACAATTTAACAACATAGTCAGCCTCTGCAAGAGGTAGATAGCTCCAATGCAAGGCAACTCTTCCCCAGGGCCAACCACCCACTACAGGCAGCTAATAGTCATAAAGTGGGAGTCTCGCAAAAAGTAAGACCTTTCGAATTTTAAGCAGACAGAGTTCCAAAATTTTGTTGGAGTTTCATAAGAACTGATACCCAACCATATTCCACGTGAATACAAGTCAAGAATTACAGTAAGCATACCTGCTGCCTCATTGAAGAAAACTCAGGATGGCTTGCAGCAATGACCGCTTTGAACATGCGAGGAGGTATTCCTTCTTGTTTCTAACATTGCCAAATGGGGGGGGAAAAGAGTGAAACAAGGAAGAGAGAACAATAGCTTTCACAATGGTAACAATCACTAATAGAGCTGTGATGGATCACATGCAAATGGAAACGTACCATACTGGTGGATGTTGCAGATTCAGCAACATCATCTGCCTGAGTTACAAAGAACAAAAGGGAGAGATCAGAGAGAAACTATGAGTATATTAAATATCAAATAGCTTCAACTTTACATACCTCCGGTGCAGGAACGGAATATTTTCCAGACAGTAAACCATGTCCCAGCTTCGTGCTGCAATATGACAGATGCATTAACATACACATTCCCAATACATTTCATCAATAAAATAGCCTATCTTAACACAATGTCAGCCAAATTACATCGAAACTACACGTGGACATGTCACAAGATTTCATAAACGATAGATGCAGAGATCAAAAGGTATTCGTGACTACCAATCATATACTGGAGTAGAAGTCATATGAGCACCAATAAATTAAAGCTAAGGATCAAAATATGTGATTAATATAAGTCATGATAGATTAAGCCGCCTTTTTGTCTGCGGTTAGAAAAAAAAAAGACAGTTTTGACCTACAAATCAACCACCCCTTTGTGGCATTGCAGGTAAATATAATTCTTATACCCTTTATTGTCAAACACAATTGTCAAATCGCCTCATTTCAAATTGAAAAATCATTATTACACCTTGGAACAAATCGAAACCAGATGCCATACAGCTACAAAACCAAAAACAAATGACTTAGGCTAGGAATAGAAGGTTTCACTTTCATCCCAAACAAACAGACTCATTATGCTCCCAGTTACAAGAAACAATGTGTTTATTAACACCATAGCTAACCACCCTCCTGAGAAAGAATTGGGTCCAGAGAAAATGTGGCAAGTATAAATGTACAGGTGCTTACAGCTGCATATTCAAGTCCACCGTTGGATCAGCAGGAGCAGTCTCAAATGCTACTTTCAAAGCTTGATTCTTGTAGAATCTGTAATGTAGTCACAAACAAACTAATGAAAGAACAGCGGAAATCAAATATGAAAGAACCAATGGAGAAACTGGAATATACATGGGAGGAAAGAGGGTACTTTTCAGGTTGCCACAATTAAACACTAACCGTGAACTGAAGGACTGAGTAGAGAACACAACTTGCATAGTTGCTGCCATGTAGCAGCTGTCAGCAGAACAACAGTTTAGTATGAAAACCATCTCCAACTGAGTTTCCCTATAACACAGCTTAACTAATAAAAGAAAAACTTACCTATTACCGAGATTCACAAGTCCTGTATAACCTGGACCAAAGATAGGTTCTAAATCCTGCCCACTTTCTTGAATTCGATTCCAATCGAAATTGATATTCTGGTCAAGTTCCCTTTCAGCAGTCGTCATTTCAGTCTGAACAAAAGAAACCGAAACATAGGCCTTAGCCAAACAAGTGAATAGGTGTGATAGCTATAGATCAGTATGGACTTGATTATATAATATTCGACCAACTAGGCCTGGAAACAAATGGATAAATACTATCATGTCCAAACAAATTCTGGATTCAAATATGATAAAAACAAATGTCATGCTCAGAGTTAATTACTAAAAGTAAGCAGATCCTTACCTTCTTTAAGGATGAAAAATCAATTCCAAAAAAGGATAAATGTTGCGCCAAAAGTGGGTCCAAAACACTGTCATCCTCAGGATAAGAGAAAACATCTGAGCTGCCACAATTCGTTAACCATCATTAGTTTAAAGAAAAGTCAAGTGTCAAAACAAATACTGAACATCTAATGCTAGCCATTCAAATCACTGCTGGCTGTCTCGATGAATCCAAGTGATTGCCGTGTTTTCTCAAGTGTAATAGGTCACTCCTTCAAATACGAATACTTATTGCAGTTCTGGGAGAAGGTTGACCTCTATGATGACTAGTGCTGATCATTGTTAGGATCATCCTAAACAACTGGGGGGGGGGGGGGGGGGGGGGGGGATTCCTGCTTTCACCAGCTGCATCTCAGCTGCTACAAGACGCAGCTAATTTCATGCTCCCACATTTTAAATTTATTAGGTTATATAGAACAAGGAAGCAACCATGAAGTTACATTATACAGGCCAGAGCAGACTCAATGTAAAACATCTTTTCGCTTGCACCCCTGACCCCAAAACTGAATTCACAGTCTGCCACTCTTCGTCCCTCCAATGATATCGTCATTTCTGAACCAACTCCTCGCTCATCTCTTTCTTAATCTCCTTGTAAATTGTAATCATATATCTTATTAACAAGGTCACTATTTCATTGATCGTAACAAACTAGATGAGTTCCTATTTAGCACAATTCACAAACAAACAAAAAAACAAAAGCAAGAGTGAAAAGAAAATGCAATTTTTAGGATATTACAACCAAGGATCACTGACAAACTAAGGAGTTCAATACAAGGTAATTACTGTGTTTTTCAAAACACAAGTAGCCATTACCTGCTGCTTCCAAGTCTGAAGTTATTGTCCCCAGTTTAACAGCAAGAGGATGGCCTGTCTCCTTGTAGTGATCAATCGCATGGTTGTTACCACCAGTTCCATCCCAATTTCTCCGGCCACAAAGGATGAATCCATCAGTAAGATTCAGCCAAAGATTATCCCTCTTCTCACATTTGACACATTTCCAACCAGCCGGTGGAATAACGACTCCATTGTTAATCTGTTTCAAATCCATTGCATGTGCACTAACTTTCTTTGTATCTGCAGTCCAAGCAGAAAGTTGCTCCTTCCGCTCTGCACCTTCAGCCCTTAAAATCGCATCAGCAGCAAGTCTCACCTGCAGAAGTGCAAGAGAATAATACCATATTAGGTCTTCAAACTAGGACTCAAATCCACAGTTGACAAAACCCCTGAACCATATAAAAACTACCACCTTCTCTGGTAACTCCACAGAAGGGAATGGAAAGGTCACATGTCCGGGAAGTACTACTATGCTGTAAGTTTCTTCATATTCAACTTCATTGTTGTCAAAACCCCCTTCAGTACCTATAAACAAGTAAAAGATTCGTCAGCGTCCACAAACCATCTAAATCCTAGCTACTCGAGACAAAAATGAATTCGGAGATAGAAGCATCATAGGAGTAGGAAAAGTAATGCTGATATTTGATACCTATGGCAAGAAGGGTTGGCTTCTTTGAAGGCCTATCTTCAGGAATCAACTTTCTGGTCTCCTTTATGTGCAAATAAACAGGGTTTCCCGTCTTCTCATAGTTCCAACCCACACAATCTTTCCCGAAAGCAAGAAACGTGTTCATGTCAATGTACAGCCCCCCTTCTGATCTCTACAGCATAATAACAGAATCACAGACAAAATTCAGCAATTTACACAAATCATAGTACTTAACAGTTAACACAATCAACTATCCTTCATGATCGGCCCTTAAATCATGTGACAAAGCAGATTGAGACCCCAAATATATCTCCCTTCTATTTCACTACTTGGTTTAGTAATCCAGCAGCACTCATCGCCAAAGGAGGAAAAGAGAGCTCCAATAAGCCATGCAGATTGTTGGAGACGTCAGGAATTCTACTCAGTGTTCTTAGAAAATATCCAGATATCAAAAGCAACTGAAGCAGAGAAATTGCAGGAGAGCCATTAGTAGTATAGCTGTGGCAACAATGACAGCACTCGTAGCAAATAAAATGGAGTGAGCTGAGGTTTCCCGTATCAAGCAAACACTAATTTCTCTTTTAAGCCAAGTCTCGATCACAAGCCATTCCACCTAAAAGTTCTTCCCCGCTCGCTTCCGAGAGAACCAAACAAGAACGATGAAGAAATAGGGAAGGAATGAAAGAAAAAGAAGACTAACCGGGTTATCAAACGAGATGCAGCACTCTGATTTGTAGACGCGGTTCGTCGGCTCCGGTATGCGCACCCGAGAGAGGTTGGATCGGAGCAGCTCCTGAGCATTGGCCGTCTCCATCGCAGTGGCGTGTGTCGAAGGGCAAACTTTCAGTAAGAAGAATCCGCAGCAGGAAGAAAGGAATTCTGCTTGAAGCCAAGCTTTAATGGCTTCCGCTTCTAAATTGGCCCCCTCCTATGGGTTTCCGCTTTCTTCTTTCCCGTTCTTTGTTGCTTTCGTTTATGGTGCCTTCTTCCTTTCTCACTTCTCCTCTTCTTGATTGATACAGAGCTACAGTCGTCTCTTCGTCAATCCTCGAGCTTTATACGAGTAAGACTGCCATTTTCAATCGGCGAAGAACGCAACCCTGACGGGTACCAGATCGGGTCGGGCTGGATAGTAAACGTGCCTTATTTGTTACATGGGCCAACCGATCCATTACCTCAATTGGTTTTCAATGATCCATACCAGAGTTGTGGGCTTTCAGTAATTCACTGGAACATATTTTGGCTCATCCGTCATTTGGAAATCTGTTTATTTTATCATATAAAAATTGGGTAAATTGCAAGGTCAATTACTGAAATTGAATGGCTAAACGTCGACCTTGTTTTACTATTATCGTCCTAATTTAAAACATAAAACTACTAAATTTTCCTTTATCAAATAAACTAAATTAAAAAAAAAAACACTCCTAAAATCCCTAATCTGTTCGTTCTCCTCGCCGTCGCATGCATCCTTCTCCCGAATTCACTATCGACACCGTCCACCCAGCTGCCGTAACTTCTCCCAAGCACTCTGATGCAATTACTTCTCCCAGTTGTGTCTCATTTCTATCCCCCTTGCTCAGACAACTCGATCTTCTAACTTCTATTTGAAATAGATGATAAAGTTACCAGTTGGGTGAATATGTTAATCAAATAAGGTGAAGGTGATCGTGAAGAGGGGAGAAGAAATTGGTTGTATACTTGTGCCATGGTCCATGGCAGCCGATGCGAAACTGATGGACGTTCTGTTTGTCTATCTCGCGCTGCCCGTGGCCACCATCATCAACCTCTTCCGGAAAGCAACCGCGATGGTAACGTTAGGCTGCATCGACAACGTTTACTCAAACATGGAAAATATAACTCTCGCTTCCTTTCCTCTTAAGGAAAGTGGTAAGATGGTGGCCGGCAGGTTCACGTCGACGGTTGTGGAATAAATGGCTGGAATCCTCATAAGTCTACAAGGCACGATAATCATTTGAAAAGGGTAATACTTTCTGCTCTTGTGGGAAATGTGGCAATGTACTATGGATATGATCAAGTGGGTTATCAAGTGGCAACGACCAGGAGAAGTATTCGGCTAGACCCTTCGTCTTCGTTACAGATGTTTGCTGAAAAGCCAAGCTGGGTTGTTTTTGGTGAACTCTTGTCAACCATTAACGATTATTTGGTCTGTGTTACTGCCTTTGAACTTTTTAAAGCTAGAGTTGTTGCCAAAGGCCACCCCAACAGGAAGGAGTGGATTTTCAGGACACATTTGCCTCAGTAGTTAAGATGACAACAATCAGAACTTTTTTGGTTGTTGCTGCTATCAGGAACTGGCATATTCACCAGTTAGACGTGAATAATGCCTTCCTCCATGGAGATCTTCAGGAGGAAGTCTATATGACCCTACCCAAAGGCTATGAACCACCCCCTAGTTTTATCAATCCTGTTTGTCGCCTCAAAAAGTTACTCTATGGCCTCAAATAGGCTTCTAGACGGTCCAGTAAGCTGAATGACAAACTACAGTTCCTGGGATACACTCAAAGTAAAGCAGACCACTCTCTTTTCTACAAGGCTACAGACTCTTCTTACACATGTGTTCTCATCTACGTCGATGATTTGGTTGTTGGTGGTACTCTCTGCAATTGAGGATCTCAAGGCCCTACTTCATTCAGAATTCAGTATAAAGGATCTAGGCACTCTATGATTCTTTCTTGGTATGGAAGTTGCAAGAAACAAATAGGGAATTCATCTTTCACAAAGAAAATATGCACCGGAAATCATTGAAGAAGCAAGATTGATTGATTCCAAGTCTGTTTCCACCCCGATGGATTACAAGGCACATCTATCTGTTGTTTGTGACATTCCCTATGAGAATCCAGAACATTACAAGACACTAGTGGGCAAACTAATCTATTTGACTACCACAAGGCCTGATATCGGCTTTGCAACACAACAAGTCAGTCAATACATGGGTTTCCCTAGTTTCACTATAAAGGGCGAGTGATTCGGTGGTTTTGGCTTGTGGCCTGTAGTTCTATGTCAACTAGTTGGTTGTAGGGATGTTGGCTTCACTTAGAAGATTTGGATGCTATGTTTTCTTGTCTTGTGGAGATTGGGTTTCGGTAGTGGGCTTTGTTGGGTGTTCTCTGGCGGCGTGATTTAACAGGACTACCCACCTATTAGCTAAATAAGTTCTTTTATCGGGAGTCCGGTTTTATACAGTCAATCTCATACTTTTATAGTATGACAATAGCCGTGGAATATAGATAAAAAAAATCTATGATTTTCATGCAAATTAACTTATCAATTTGATTCAAATTATTATTATTTTTACTTCAATTAGATCAAACACCAATTGGTATGGGAATAATCTATCTATCTATCTATACATAATATTATGGCAATTCAAAAGTAGTTTGTTGCCACATAAGCATTTGGAGAATTTACAAGGTGCCATGGTGTACACTTTTTTTACAACAAAAAAGTTAGTTAATGATCAATTAATATATCTATATCTATCTTCTTTTAATATTTTCTTTTTATTTTAATGATCATTTATGTAGCTATCTATATCTTCTTTTAATATATTTTTTATTCAATAATTGTTTTTTACAATATATATGTATAGCAGCAGTATACGTATGTTTGGAGAGTGACATATATTGTAATCTTTTAACAAATATATTTGATTAAATCTGATCAATTAATTTTAATTTTTACTAGAACTTAATACAGTGAAGTTTAGATAATCAACATTTAATAATCAATTGAATTTGAAAAACCAACTATATAATTTTATGTTTTGGTTATCAAACACTATCTTTTTCTAATGTTTGTATCTATTAATGAAAACAAGTATTAAACAGCAAAATGCTTCAAAAGTTGTTTTTCATTTAGATAGAAACTTGACGAAGTCATAATATAGTACCTGATTGTACAAATGAAGGCGATAAAGAAAAACAACTTTTCTTATCTCTTATAATGCATGCTTCCATACCTTATTTTCTCTTATATTTGTTCATATTTCCCCTTATTTTTCTTAATAGTTTACATATTTCGGTCAAACAAAGGTGTTAATTATACTTAAAAATACATTAAACTCTTTATATTTATATATGTATATTATGACATACTTTGAGTAAGAAAATGATATCTAGACCTTGAATTGACTGGAGTTTGGCATATGGTATTATTCTCAAACCCTTCAAGATTAAAATCTAGGTCTTAAATTTATAAATCTCATACCCTAAGATCAATTTAATTCTAAACAAAAATCAACGGTCATGCTTCGTCAAAATATATGCAACAAATTACATGCACAATCTTAGGGGTTAAGCTCTATGATTTAGATAACTAAGACATAGGGTTCACTCATCAAGGATTAGGGTATAGTATCATGCCCACAAATCCGGTTAATTCTTGGTCCAGATAGCGTGTTCTTACTTAGAGTATAGTATCATGCTTAGATATTGACAATAGATGTGGCATAACACCAACAAAATGAAGATATTAGTATAAGTTTAAGCAAATGCATATTTGATAAGTTATAAAATTATACACTAATGGACCATGTTAAGATTAGAACCCTCGACAGTATGTGAGTATCTTGGACCGAGATTCTAAACCAACATCTAAACAACGATCATTAGTTGAGGATGAGTCTAAATTAAACTTCAGGAATTAACAACTGGTACATATTGTATAAGATATTAAATTGAGTGTCTTGATCGACAAATATGATCTTACAATAAGACAATAAACTTTCAATTGGGATGAACAAACTTACCTAATATTGAAGTACCTTTATAAAAACATTCTAACTAAGTTGTCGTCATCTGAGCAACATCATTGGTTGAGAGTTTGTCCAAACTCGAGATTCATTGAATGACATATATTGTATAAGATAAATTTTTTTGAGTATCGTTGTTTTAATTTATAGACGCACCACATACTCACGCATTTGAGTATCGTGATATATCTTCGTGACATGATTTATGATCAGAGAATTGAAACATCATAAGTGAACGTGCTAAGCATTGAGAATTTTTAATTTACAGACGCACCGCATACTCGCGCATGAATGCAAATGTAAAAAATGGAGAAGATCCAAAATAGTTTAAACATATAGATAAATTGATTAATTGATTAATATAAATGATAAAATGAAACTCACCTGCCAATGGGCCGGGTAAAAAGCTAGTAGTATTAGTAACATATGTTGACATATGGGTATCAACATAAAAGATTCAAACCCTTGGAGTAAATCCTCGCTAATTGGATGAGATTCCCACCGCACCCCAACTTTTGCTCAATAAAGACATTAATAAATTTTGATTAAACCCCACACGAGTTGAATTTGCTCGACAAAGCTATGCTATGATGGCGGCTTCAATTAATTATCGACAAGTGATTGTACTATATCAATATTTATGAATGAGTCGATTTGATTGTATGTTAATTGACCAACAAGTTTGAGAATCAACTTCCGATTGAGTAGCTTCATTTTGGGCTAGTAGTTTCATTTTCATTACAAAAATTTGAAAATTGGTGTTGAGTTAGTCTAGATAATCAAAATTCGGGTAATTTAGAAGTATTATTATCCGACATAAAAAAAAATTCTCTCCACGATTTCCCCCACCAAATTAGCTTCGCCTTCCCTAAATCCTCGCTCCGTCGCAGCACCCTCCACCGTCCATATTCCCCGGCGCTCTGCGAGCGGTTGCCTCTATCCATCGCTCTAACTAATTAAACATCCACGTTAAATGCACTTGCTGTCGGACGACGGTCCCCCGAAAAACTAATACGGCAGCGCCCACCACCAAAACGACAGACGGCAGGAATGCGAAGCTGATCATCAGGAAGAAGTAAAGGACGTGACAAGAACCATAACTTCATATATGGTTCCTGTCATCTAAGAGATTGTCCGGTGGAATTGTTCAAGGGCGGCGGCGTTGGAGGGGGATCGTTGGTCGTCGTCATTCGGGTGAAATATTCAAGCGATGGAAGATGATGATCAGAGAGATGGGGTGTTGTTGTCATCATCGTATCCTTCTCATTCTACGACGGCGTCTACCACCGCCACCACGACGGCGACGAGTACCACGATGCCGTCGCCGGACTGCGGTAGAGGAGGGAAGCCCAAGAAAGGATTGAAACGGTTCCCTCGTGTATTGAAAGCCATTCTCTTCGAGACATCGCTGGTATGATTACATTTTAATCTTTAATTTCTTTATTATCTCTATGAATCGATAAATTATTAATTGATTTAAATTTATCGATGGATTGATCATTCAAGCTAGGATACGTAAGTAATTTGCATTGTCTTCGAAACAAGGGTTATGTCTTGATAATGAGAAATTATCAAAGTGCATGAGGAAGATCTTGGGGAAAATGATGTTTTAGGACTCCTAGCTAATAAACAGTCCTTAATTACATGTTGAACTACTCGATTATTAGTTAATTGCCTAGTTATTTGTTGTGTTGATTTGGTTTGGATATCTTGGTTGTAAGTTTTAAAGCAAATCAGATTGACATGAACTATGATAATTTCGATGCCAAATTGATTTTCAACTTAAAATAGTTTTTATTCTGGTTTAAATCGTAAAACAAATCAGGAATCGGAAAACCAAAATCGTATTATAATCATTGTAAGCGGGGAACAATTTTATTTAGCCGATTTGTTCATGTCGCGAAATGAAATCGATATATAGTTTATCGATTTGTGAGGCCTTAACTGTGTAGGATTTTTTTTTTCCTTCTTCTTAACCGAACCAAACCGAACCAAATCAACGACCTTTTCGTAAGCTCTTAATTATTTACTTTATCTACTCACATAAATGGTTTTTTTTTTTTTGGTGGAACTCACATAAATGGTTGGTGCAGGCGAAGAAAATCCGGAAGAGAAAAAACGCACAGAAAGGAGGAGGAGGCAACATCTACATCACGACACCTGGAGCCGTGGACCCCACCAACCCACTCAGCGAACAAGACCCACCACTCCAAAACGGCGTCGTGGAACTTCCCCGAGGACTCCTCCTCAATTCGTCAACCCCATCGCTGACCACCGCCGTCAGCAGCGTCTCCTCCTCCTCCTCCGCCGCCCTCTCCAACTCCACCTTCGCCACCAGCAGCAGCAGCAGCAACAACTCCTCCACCAACTCCCGCTCCTCCACAGCCAACACCGCCCTGCAGCCGCTCGACGTGGCGGCGGCCGGGGAGATCATCCTCCTCCAGGATCATCAGCCGAACGACGGGAAGGCCGGCAGTCCTGCCGCGGCGGGGAAGGGGCGGTACAGCTCCAACGTGGGGCTGTGCTTGGTTCTGGTGAGCCTGGTGGTGCTGGTTTTCTGGGGGAAGATCTGCGCGATTATTTTCACGTCCACGTGGCTGTTCTTCGTGCCGCATTGCATCCCGGGCACAGTGTCGAGGATCGGGGCGTTGTATTGTAGGAAGATCGAGCCGGAGGAGAACTACAGGAAGAATAAGGTGGTGGTGATGGAAGGGTTCGTTGAACGGAATCGGAACCGTTGCCGGCGGTGGGTCGGCGGCCTCAAAGGACGGCGAGGGTCAAGTGATGATTGATGAGTGGGCGCGCGGTGGGAAGTTTGAAAAAGGGAGGAAGGACGTGATGACATGCTGTATACGGGTGGGATTTTGAAGAAATATATATATATATTGTAATTAACTTCGGGTTTTCATCATGTTAGGCGATGAATGTAAATTTATAAAAACATAGTGACACATTTTTATTACTATCGAATGTAAAAGAAAGGGTATTGTCTATTTTTTATCCAAAATTTTTTTGAATTTTTTTTTATTAGTCAAACCTAACGAAATACTAATAATTAACCAAATATTAATTTTTCAGTTAGCAATTTTGTTAGTAATATTGACTTGGTAACATGATACCGACTTGGAAGAGACACATCAAAATCAACATTCCAAAATTTTAGTATTTTAACTAAGAAAAGAGTTACAAAATTATTAACGATAACGTAAAAATGGCTAATATTTTGATGCATTACGAAAAATTTGGCTAATTAAATAGCATTTTAATATGTTTGGATTCTGAAAACGATTTGGATAAAAAATAGACATTACCCTAAAAAAAATTGAGGATTTGTGCTAATTCAATTTTGTGATGATTTGTGGTCATATGTATCATGTATGTATGAGTCTCTATACTAGTTTCACCTTTGTCGAAAATATCATCCCAAGAAGATTCTCGTACAATTGTATATTTACGTTTACCTAAAAATTTTGATCAACCATTGGGACTAGATACTATAACAACACCCCTTGTGTTGTTATTGTAACAACACTAGTCTCCAACCAATAGGAAGTTAGGATTGTGATGACTTTTTATTAGATGAGTTGACCTAGTATAAAATCAAAGCAGGGGTATAATTGTCATTATGAAAAATCTGTTTAAATAATAAAAAAATAAAAAAAATATTTTTTTTATTTTCTGCCCAAAAATTTGGTCGCCGGAATTCTGCCACCGGAAACTGGTCGCTGGTCACCGGAATATGCTTTTTGTCGCCGGAATATGTTTTTTGTCGCCGGAATATGCTATTTTGTCATCGGAATATGCTTACCTTCGCCGGAATATGCTCACCGTGGTCGGAATATGCTTACCGGCATCAGAATCTAGTCATCGGGGCCGGAATATGCTTATAGGCGCCGGAATCCGGTCACTGACGGCCACCGGAGTTTGGTCAACGAACTTCGTTGACCGGTCAACGGTCTTCGTTGACCGGTCAACGGTCTTCGTTGACCGGTCAACGGCCAACGACCACCGGATGTTATGGTCTGCATTGTGAGATTTATGGTTTGGTTTCTCATATTTTTGTACGCCTTTTGTGGTTTGCATTGAGAAGTTTCTGGTTTGCTTTCAAAAACTTTGTGGTTTGCATTGTGAGGTTTCTGGTTTGCTTTCAAAAATTTTGTGGTTTGCATTGAGGGGTTTCTGGTTTGTTTTAATATATTTGTGGTTGACATTAGGACGTTTATGGTTTGCTTTTTTGTGGTTTGATTTATTGTGTTTGTGGTTTGCATTAGGAGGTTTCTGGTGTGCTTCGCAAATGTTGTGGTTTGCTTTGTGAGGTTTGTGGTTTGTTTTATGAGATTTGTGGTATGCATTAGGATGTTTCTGTTTTGCATTAAGAAGTTTCTAGTGTGCTTTCGAAACTTTTGTGGTTTGCTTTGCGAGATTTCTGGTTTGTTTTAATATATTTGTGGTCTGCATTAGGACGTTTTTTGTTTGCTTTACCGTGTTTGTGGTTTGCATTAGAGGGTTTCTGGTGTGTTTTTCAAAATATTTATGGTGTGCTTTGTATGGTTTCTTTTTTTTTTTGTAGAAGCTTTGTATGGTTTCTGATATGTTTTAGCGAATTTTTAGTAATTCTGCTATAATCCAAAACGGGGGCAAAACCCTCCAAACTGGTGGGCACCTAACCTAATTACTCTCTCCATGAAAATGACTACACAGCCATTTCGAGCCCTGATGTTGTGTCAATTGTCCTGTTTGAATCTGTAAATTGCAACAATTATGGGTTCTTTTTTCTTATCACAAGTCCCTCTCGATCGATCAACATATGCTCTTGATAACAAGGGAACTGAAACTTGACGATTCCTCTCGATTGCAGGGCTGGGCTCTTGCTTCGTGTAGTTCTCCGGATGTGCGATTCGGACGACGAACTCGCAGTTGGAATCCCCCGGAGGAAGTTCGACCTCCGCCTTGGGGAGCATCCGGTGCTCGCGAGTGGTAGGGTTCCAGAATGCGATTTCCTCGTCCGAATTGCGGAGCGCGAGCAGTCCGTTGCAGCAGTAGAGGATCTCGGTTCCGAACATGTGAGCTTCGAGCGGGTGGTCCAGCTTCGCTGCGGCGGCGTGGAGGCGTTCGAGGTCCACGGAGGAGAGAAAACAGCTGTCGATTCTCGACGACTTGCGGTAGCAGAAGCTAGGACTTACCTAGGGCGCTATTGCAGCCATGGAAGACGATGACTGCCGCTGACGTTGAACAGGATCTCTCCCGGCGCTCGTATTTAGGGATTGATCGGCGCCGGAACATACAAGAAAATAGAGGAGGACTTGCGACGCCGGCGGTGGAAGAAAGAAGGAACAGCCGGAGATGAAGCTGGCGAGGAACGACAGAAATTGCATACGAGATAGAAGTGGTGGATTAGGGTTGGGAGATTATTTATTTAATTTTAATTTGATATTTTTTTTGTTAATTTACTTATTTACCCTTAATGAATTCTATCTACACATAATATAATACACCGAAGGGAAAGACGGGAGCCTCATTTCAAATTTCCTGCAACGAGAGTGAAAGTAGGAAGGACATTTTGGTCTTCACAATTACTTTTTTTTTTGTCTTCACAATTACTTTTTTTTATTCATTAAAAAAACACGTACTAGGATTCGAACCATGACCATTTTAAAGAAAAGGAAGGATCATAACCAATCACACTAAGTACATTTGTTGTATCTTTTTAAATTAAAAACATATAATAGCAGGGAGGAAAAAACCCTTCCCCCATTTCAAGTTCCCTGCTCCAGGAGCGTTTGTAGGAAGGGTAGAATAAAGAGTATCAATTTTTTTCTCTTTCCTCTGTGGAACGGGCCAACTTACCGTATACATGCGGATTTATACGGGCCAAGGAGGCAAGGAGTGTCAATTTTTTTTCTTTAAGCCATTTTATTTCTCCGTGGTGATATAATATATACGGAAAGACAAAAACAATACTCATTTTTATTGCTAAAAATAAAAAATTTAACAATAAACTAATGCAAGGTATCTAATGGGCTAACCGCTAACCATAAAATAAAAGAGTTGAATGGGCCTGACCTACACGGTATTTGGCCATCAAGTAAAACAAATGAACATCATTGGTTTGTCATTCTAAAACAAGTTATTTTGTCTGGCATAATATATATTATGCTATTATTTTATATCTTAGTGGCTAAAATATAATGTATTTTAAAATTATTCAATGGTTCAACCTCGACCAACCCAATTAGTCCAATTTTTATCATTTCAAATATATATTATATAATTATTTGATATCATAATGATCAAATTATAGTGTATTTTATAGGGAATTGTTTGGTATTTGTTAGTAAAAAACTAAACAGAATGATCTATTTGGTTATTTTAAACATTAAAACGATCCTAAATATTTTCAGTTCCTTTTGAATTTTTATGGTTTTATTCCCGAATAAGTGATGTGCAAATGGCGAATTGCAGTCATCTCTTTTCTTTCACTATTTTTATTTTCAAATAGAAAGTTTAAAAGTAATGAATAATTAGAATTTGGCATGGGTCGGTCCAACATGCTGAATTTCAAGTTTTGGCCCGTTTTGATCAATTCTAATTTATAATCACATGGTTCCCTGATACCCGATAAAAATCTCAATCCAAACCAGTTTGGCAGGTGAGTCTGTGTTTACCACAATTTTCTAGGGATACGACAACGACGGTTCCTATCCCAAATCGTGTTGTTCGTTCTTGATTTCCTTAGATTTTATCATGTCCTAACAAAAATCAGAAAGCACAATGACGACAAGATGAAAGTTTTATAAAGCAAATTAATCGACCAACGGGCCGAGTAAAAGCTAGCAACGATTGTGAGATGCTCATTTCCCGAAAACCGACGGGATATGCGATTTTTTATTCGATTTTCTGGAATTTGGTTTCTATAAAACTTACTCTACCTCATCATATTACCAGAAACAATATTGTTTCACAAGGTAACATGAACTTGATTTTGGTTCATAAGGCCGATTTTTTATTTATTGCATCATTCATGTCTCTTTCCTGCTAAAATTCACTATTTTTATCACGAGTTTCCAAAAAAAAAACTATACAACAATAAGCTCTACACCCCATTACATTATCAAATTTCATACCTCACCTTCCTCCGGCCAACTGGCCGGGACCCACGCTAGTTGTTATAATAACAACACTAAATGTGTTGTTATTCTATCCGCTCCCCATTAATTACCAAGAAGATATATATGCATAGTAGATACTAGCTTATTACCCGGCCCGTTGGCCGGATTACTGTATGTTACCCACTTGTGGAATGGGAGAGAAAGCAAATGAGAGTGAAGGGATTGGGATTCCACTTGATTAAGACCGGCCCACTAATCTGATTCTTCCCGACCCGCCCCAACCTAAAGGGTCAGAAAGAGTCAAAAAGAAAATACGAATGGAGAGAATTAGTAATATATCTTGACTCTTCAGAAGTGGGTCAAACAGGATAAAGGTTGGGTGAGGGCAATTTTTAGCGCTAAGCAGAGTTCTGGGTTGAATAACTTTACTTAGGCCTAGAAATTGGTGCTGATGCAGACTGCAGTTTTTATCATACCATCATCAATCATCATTGAATTAGTCCTGGGCATCCCTCCCCGTTGTCGGTCTGAATTTTAATGATGGCTTCATTCCTTGCACCAGCCATATCAGCAAGTTGTCATCTCGAGCATGATTTGCCTATGTACAAATGATACAATTAGAGTATGAAACTGAATTCAAAGAAAAGGAAAAGAGAATTCTATCACATGCCAATAAATACACACATAATAGTTGAAGCTAAGTGAAAGTCATTACTCGCACATCAATTCTAAAAAATTACAGACTAAACAATGGCTAGAATGGCACTGAAACTACCAAGAATCATGGACGAAACAACTTGTCAAATTAAATAATCCTTATACTGAAACTACCTTCTAACTTGAAATAAGACATGATCACAGTTCATAGCACTCTTATCACTATGAATTGGTTGCAGCTCGTCCTTATCACTACCTCCCAAGCTCAATTCAAACAGAATAGACACAGTTATGTAAGATAACCATATCCTTACTGATCATAATTCCTTTCTTCACTCCATTTTTGTCGGAGAAAAGAGTTATCCCCCTCTCATGCATTTCCCTTTCCCCTTCTCTTCTCCCTCTTCTTCACAAACCGATCCCTAAACCAGCAACAACAACACAAAATAGCCTTCGCCTCTGCCATCTCCATCTACTGAACGCGTTGGTGGCAAGACAGGACTGCAGAAGCAAAATTTTCTAAAATCAAACTAAATTTTTTGAAGGAGACTCAACCACGAAAAAAGAGTAAAGCAACAATGCTAATAGTTCAGATGGTTGGTTTTGATGTTATACGTTGCTTTTGTTATGGTCTCCAGTGTATCAACTGCAACAGAGATGTTTCCTCCAATCATCTTTAGTGCACGATTTAGAAGTAAGTCCTCTTGTTTGTGTCAAACGGAAACATTCATGGGTTCTTAACTCCCCTGTTAGTGTAAATGCATCAGCAGCAAAGAAGTTTGACAACACAGCAAGCACCCAGGCAAAATGATACAATGCAGTAGGTGATATGTGTCTCGAAGGTTTTGAGTTACTAAAGTTCATGTTAAAAATAAACATGAATTAAAATGGATTATTCTATTAAGCAAACATCCCCTCTAATCATACAAAGATCAGATATCTAATTCACAAACAATTAAGCCATAAAAAATCATCACACATCCACCACCTCTGATTGCCTATATTTGTTTTTTCGCAAAGTTATGGACTCTTAAGGGTAAAGTTCATGGGTAGTCTGTTTCATAACTCTAGAGAGCACAGTAAGCAGCCACCAACCAGACACAGTGCGGTAGGCGAATATGATTCTCAATTCACAATTTCTCACCACCGGAAGTAAGAACATACCATAATAAGCGTAGCGTTCATGGGTGGTCTGTTTCATAGCACTACTACACAATTTGTTAAAAAAGAAAGAAAGATATTTAGCATCACGGCGGAACAACTTTTACAGGCCAACAACGACAACATGCTGCAACCACCAGAACTGGTATCACAACTCATAGGGAAAATCAAAAGATTTACTCTTAAATTAAGTAGTTACAACATCGAGCAATCGTCAAGCACATACACCATCACAAAAGTCACAGAACCTGATTCACAAAGCATTCAAACATTTGAGGACATTTCTTCAAAGATACAACTTATATGTCTTTTTTCCAAGCCATTTCCATCAACATGCTAATAAATTTGCAATGCATAAAACAAATGGGCCAAAACTTGAAATTCAACCTGTTTGACCGACCCATGCCAAATTCTAATTATTCTTTACTTTTAAATTTTCTATTTGAAAATAAAAAATAGTGAAAGAAAAAAGACGACTACAATTCGCCATTTGCACATCACTTATTCGGGAATAAAACCATATAAATTCAAAAGGAACTGAAAATGTTGAGGATCGTTTTAATGTTTAAAATTACCAAATAGATTTTTATGTTTAGTTTTTTACTAACAAATACCAAACGATTTCCTATAAAATACACTATAATTTGATCATTATGATGTCAAATAATTATAAAATATATATTTGAAATGATAAAAATTGGACTAATTGGGTTGATCGAGGTTGAACCATTGAATAACTTTAAAATACATTATATTTTATCCACTAAGATATAAAACAATAACATAATATATATTATGCCAGAGAAAATAGCTTGTTTTAGAATGGCAAACCCATGATGTTCATTTGTTTTACTTGATGACCAAATCCCATGTAGGTCAGGCCCATTCAACTCTTTTATTTTATGGTTAGCGGTTAACCCATTAGATACCATGCATTAGTCTATTGTTAAATTTTTTATTTTTAACAATAAAAAGGAGTATTATTTTTGCCTTTTCATATATATTTTATCACCACGGATAAATAAAAGGGTATAAAGAAAAAAATTGACACTCCTGGATTCGTTTAAATCCGCATGTGTACGGTAAGTTGGCCCGTTCCACAGAGGAAAGAGAAAAAAATTGACACTCCCTATTCTACTCTTCCTACAAACGCTCATGGAACAGGGAATTTGAAATGGGGGAAGAGTTTTTTCCACCCTGCTATTATATATTTTTAATTTAAAAGGATACAACAAATGTACTTAGTGTGATTGGTTATGATCCTTGCTTTTCTTTAAAATGGTCATGGTTCAAATCCCAGTACATATCTTTTTAATGAATAAAAAAAAGTAATTGTGAAGACCAAAATGTCCTTCCTACTTTCACTCTCGTTGCAGGAAATTTGAAATGGGGCTCCCGTTTTTCCCTTCGGTGTATTATATTATGTGTAGATTAAATAAGAACACTTTATTGTGGGACGAGAAATGGCCAAAACCCTTCCATTATGGGTTCCTAATATTTGTCCACAGGGTTATCAGATTTGTAGGGAATTGGAATCAAACACAGATCATGTTTCCTCTTCATCGTTGCACCGAAACGTTCAGATATGTCCAAATTTTCTAGCGGCTTTCCATCACCGGACTTCCAGTCAAAGTGGTAGAGCAAGCTAGCCAGGGGAAGTTCCACGTTGGCAATTCCGAATGCTATACCGGGACACATCCTCCTCCCCGCGCCAAACGGAATGAACTCCAGATTGCTTCCGTGATAATCCACCGAGGAGTCCAAGAACCTCTCCGGAACGAACCGGTCCGGATCGGTCCAGTACTTGGGATCTCTTCCGATAGCCCAGACATTGATGATGACCTTGGTGTTGCACGGGATGTCGTACCCATCGATCTCACAGCAGTGTTCCAGGTTTTGTCTCGGCAGTAACAACGGAACGGGCGGGTGCAGTCTCATGACTTCTTTTATCACCAATTTCAAGTATTTCAACTCACCGAGACCTTCTTCTTTGACGGAACCTGTTTTTTGGAACACTCGTCTTACTTCGGCTTGTGCCTTTTTCAGAGCTCCTTGATTTCTCAGCAGCTCCGACATCACCCATTCTACCACTCCAGAAGAAGTATCGGTTCCCGCCGTAAAAATATCCTAAAAAAAATGAAGATTGAAATGAATATGATTTTTTTTAAGAAATAGATGAGAGATTATAGTATTATACCATAATTACGGCCTTGAGACTGTCATCAGCATACGGGAATTCAACTTGTCCTTCTTCCTGAGCCGTCAACAGAACATCGACAAGATCTTGTTGTTGTTGTTGTTGTTGTTGATGATCCCCTCCTCCATCAGCTTCACTATTCCTTCTGCTCCTCCTAGCTCGATGGTCGTCGATGATCTTATCAACAATCCGGTCAAGTCTCCGACGAATCCTGAGCAGTTTAGCCTCCAGCCCACTAAACACGTGAGGCCACCTGGCAGAAGGAAATAGGTCCGGTAGGCTGAACCCTCCGGCCGCCTCCAGACTCTGCCTGGTGACGTCCAAGAACTCCTCCATCTCATCCCTAAGTAGCCTCTCCCCGAACGCGGCCCTCGCCGTGACGGTATTGGTCAGGGACTTGATGGTCCGGCTGAGATTGATAACCGGGCCCGGACCAGGCCCATGGGCCGCGGAGGATGTTATGGACCGGACCATCTCCGCGTTCTCCTGCTCCCTGATGGGCCGGTACGACCCGACCCGCCTGGAGCTGAGGAGCTCCAGGGTGCAGATCCGCCGCAGCTGCCGCCAGTACTCGCCGTAGGGGGCGAAGGCCAGGTCGGTGGAGCCGTAGCACATGACCTTGGTGGCGAGGAGGGAAGGGCGGTTGGCGAAGGTGACGTCATGGGTTTTGACCACGTGTCTGGCGGCCTCGGGGGACGAGACGACGAGGGTTTGGACCTCGCCGAGCTGGAGGTGCATGAGCGGGCCGTGGACGGCGGCGAGGTCGCGGAGGCGGCGGTGGGGGAGCGGGTGGAGGAGCTGGTGCATGTTGCCGATGATCGGCAGCTTACGCGGGCCCGGCGGGAGGTTCGGGTGGGCTCCGGCGGCGGAGTTGGTTCTTCTTCGGAGGAGTAGCCGCCATGTGGCGGCGGCGAGGAGGAGGAGGAGGAGGGTGAGGAAGGAAGCTGGGATGGAATCAATGAGCAGCTTCATTGGGTTATTTTGAGAATGGATATCGTGAAACTGAGATTTATTTATATAATATCGTCGACGCGAGGCGGTGGAGATGTTAGAACGGCGACTGGTTTGTCGGGAAGCGACTTTGGAATCGGCTCCTTTGTACAGATAAATGATCCGTTTGTTAAGGAATCTTAAGGCGTCAACTTCAGGAGGGTTAGCGAGCAGGTGGAGAAACGACGAGATTAAGGTTGGGTGAGATATATAATAAGGGTGGGGATAAGAGTAGAAGAAAAATAAAACTAAAAAACTAAGATTAATAAAGAAAGAGAATTTCTCTTTTCATTGAGATTTTATAATAAGGGATTCTAGCTATTTGAGATTTAAAACTATTTAAAATGTATGTCTATATGTCTGCAAAAGAATTGCAAAAGAATACACATATTTATAGAATAAATCATTTAGTAGGGTGTGGGTATATATCGTTTGTAAGTCTTCTAAGTATAGGTTTTATTTGGGGCCTTGTCTGTTCAACTACTTTCTCACCGTTTTTGTTTTTCTTTCTTTTCGTCCTAGCATTTTGTTACATGTGTCCAGTCTTGGAAGTTCACATACTAGGTAGTCTTTGCTTGTTCTCTTTGAGTTTTGGTTGACCCTCTTTTTCAGGTTTTTTGTTCTCTTGTACTTGTATATGAATTTTTTTCTCTTATTTTTGTTAGTAATAAAGTTCATTATTCAAAAAAATAAATCTCACTTACTGTGTGTCTATTATCTTGTATCTTGCCAATAATAACGAAGTTATGATTCAAACTTCAAATTGAGGACAAACTAGAAATAAGAAAATACAACTTATCAAGATTCAACCTAGTCATTGAGGGTACTTAATTATTAATACCCAATTACCACTACGCCGTTTGGCAAATTTTGTTCAATACTAAACACATTATAAAATTTAACCAAATATTAAGCGAGTACTTAATTGTACTACACGAAGCTCCACCGTTAACAATCACACAAAAATTTTCTCATTGTCAAACATATTTACACAATTTACATCAACGAGTACTATATACTCCCAAGAAATTCACATGTTATCATTAGCTAGATATATAACGTTTAGTTTTATCTCAATGTGTCTCACCATGTTGTTATTACTCCCTTCATCAAACATTTCAATCCCTCGACGTCGGACTTCTCGAACCCACCAAGTTGGCAAGATACGAAGGCTTGTTGTTGGTGACAACGTTGGGCAGTTTCTCCGACACCTTGGCGTCTTCTTTCTGTATCTCGTCCCCGCTACCGTTGCCGTCGTCCCCGTCGTTGTCGTTGCCGTCGTCCCACCCCATGAAGTCCAGCAACGTCATCGGCGACGATCCTTCCATCGACGACCTGTCCTTCTCGTCGTACGACGGCGTGCCGGCCTGCGAAAACGGGCCGCTCTTCGGCCCAACTTGGGACGGGTTCCTGGCGCAGTGATCTGCGTACAGCACGTCTTCGATACGGGACAGCACCGTGAACGCCAAGCTCTCCAGGATTCTCGAGTAGCTTTCCAAGATCGCCTGCCCTACATCCTGTTCCCCAACAAAAAGCGCGTTAGTACGTGATATAAGATTTATTATCGAACATTTTCTAACAAATCGAGTTATAATTGAGACCAGGTAGTTTCTGATATAGTCTCAGAGCCTTCTTGTGTTTGAATCTCGATAACTCTCCTTTGTTAAGCATATAATATTCAGATCAATGCAAATTTCAAGCTCTTACAAGTGGACAGTTGTTTTTATTTGAGGGGCGCATTTGTATGTGATATATATAAGATCAACTATTGAACGTTTTCCAATAACTCGAGTTATTAGAATTAATTGATTCGTAACACCAAGAACCAGTTGATCCTAATAACTGGAGTTGTTGGAAGATGTTCAATTATAGAACTTATATATACTATTTATTAACATGCCCCCTCAAACGAAAACCAACATTTTACGAATTCTAAGTTTGCAGATATGATGAGAATATCCCATGCTTAAACAAATGGAGTTAAACGAAATTCTAGTAAAAGACCGTTCGGTCACATACGACTATGATATCATGTCATAAACCAACCGGCTCCAATAACTCGCGAGTCATTGAGACCAACTGGTTTATAACCCGCTTGAAAGATGGAATGGTGGTTTCTGACCCGGTTCGATTCGATCTTGCTGATGTCGAGAGCGGACTGCGGGATGCCAGGGAACCTCTGCTTCATGATGAGAAGTATGGTCTCTGCTCTGTCCTCAAACTGCTCCCTCTTCTCCCAGCTAACCGCCGATCCCCAGGCCGATTTCCCGTCTTTCTGGTTCATCTTCCGCTTCCATATCACGATGGACGCTTCGATCCTGTCTTTCAGGTCCAGAATCTTGTGCTCGTTCGCCAAATCCATGGTGGACAGGAACTGGTCCGGGTCGAAGAACTCCACCGTAATGCTCTTGTAGATCACGTCCCCCAGGCTCGCTCTCCCATTCTGCCGACCCGACCAGTAAAAAATTTTTAAGAAGAGAAGAACAGTACGTGCATGGCTTGGTACGTACGTCTGCATGCATGCATGGGATTCCAGAATGAAAGTACGTACGTACCTTTGGAAGGGCTTCGATGTAGCTTTCGGGAATCTCCATTTCCGACAAAACCTGCGCGTTGATGGCCTGGGCTGCTTTCAGGACCTGGTTGACCGAATCCTTCTGTGCCTGCAGGAATTTTCTGGAAGCTTCCGAGAGGCCGTTGGTTGGGACTTTGGCTGTGGGAAGCCACCATTTCTCTTCTTTCCTCTTGGGTCCTTTCTCTGAATCGGGTGCGTCTCTTGATACGTACGTGAACTCGCTCTGTTCCTTGAAGTTATCTAGAGTACCCTGAAAGATCGAAAAGAAAAAAAAAGGGTTTCAGTTTTGATGGATAGATTCTACATGCATGCATGAAGTAAAAAAAAAAAAAAAAATTAAAAAAAAAACTTTGTTCTTTTTCTTGTATTTCAATCTTACGACGAGCATGCCGTCGAGCTTTCGTAAGGCTGGGATGTTCATGTGAAGGTCGTTCCTCTGTCGCGTTATCATTACCTGCACAAATCGCGACAACATTTTAAAACAATTTGGACGAATTGTTGGAAGAGAGAATCAAATTTTTTTTTTTTTTTTTTTGTGTGCGGAATTAGAAGCGAATTAACCTCCACATTGCCCTGTTGGGCAGCGACGAATTCGACGATGTGATCCGTGACGGATAACAGCAGGTCGATTTCTCTCCTCCACCTCGTTTTCCTCTCGTTCGACATCGGCTCCAGGCGCCACTGCTCTCCGAAAACCGAAGCTACGTACACCGCAATGATATTCGTAACAACACGATTAAAACGAACGTACAGAACAACATTCTCATGCATCGGTCGCATCAAAATTCGAAGATATAGCCATTGATTAGGGTTATAATCCACCTGCAAGATTCGTGATGGCATTGGACAATGCCAAAGCCGAAGAAACACCCTTTCCACCTCCCGACATGTCCTCTCCGAGCAACAACTTCGCAAACCTTTCCTTCATTTGGTCCATTTCTGTACCCAAAAAAAAAAAAAAAAAACACACAACGTAATGAGCCATGCATGCAACGAGGATAGGAGCAAATTAGAACAAAGAACATTCTACGTAATCTTGCCATGAGTTTTCTCCTTGAGGAGTTGAGCGACGACGTCGAGATCTTTGCTCATCATCTTGGACTTGGAACCCTTGTCGTTGCGGCTGATGGCGCGGCCGATGGCGGCCGCGGCCACGGCGACGCGGGACGGCTGTTTCTCGATGCGATGGGTGGTGGCGGCGCCATCTTTGGCGTCGTCGGCGGGTGCTTTGTTTTTGGATGAAGTGATTATGATGGGAGCGTCGTCGTCATCGTCGTCGTCGTAGCTCGAGGTTTCGTCGAGGCTCATGCTCTTGGAGTGCTTGGCTCCGCCGGAGGAGTTGTCGTACAATCCCCTGAAATTGAACAGCCTTGACCTAAGGCTTTCCTTCTCCTGTTCCACCACCATGTCTCATGAAATTTGGGGGTGTTCTTGTTTTTTTTGGTTTGTTTTTTTTTTTATGGGAGAGATGAACAAGAACACAATAGCTAAAACCCAATGAATGGAAGGGAGGGAAGGTATGGAAAAGGATTTTTTCTTCTTCTTTTGTCTAAAAACCTTTGTAATGGTGTTTTAGACAAAGAAAAAGAGATCTTTTTTTTTTCCTTCTTCTTCTTCTTCCAAAAGTGGTGTGGTGTTAGAGAACAAGTTTGAGATGGTGATGAGTGATCATTATGGGTAAAATTTGCAAATGACATCTTGGGGTATAAAATTTTGGCCACAAAATTCTTTGATGTTGTTTGCTAAACTATTTTAAGTACGGCCTCGTTTTTCATATCTTTATTTTTCTCATTGATTGAATAATTTTTCTGAATTCGTAATGGTAAAATAACGATGCGACATGCTTGACATTTTCTCAACATTTTGAATTATTGGGACGGTTGATTTTTTACGGTCAAACCTAAATAAAAAAATTTAAACCGACGAAAGTACTCATAAAATGTATTCATTTCGACTGTTTTAGACATGTTAGTGGAAGATGGAAGTGTTCTGTGCAAGAAGGGAAGTCCGTCATGGAATGTGCTATTTGAAAACTAACGATGATATCGTTCTCAAAACCATTTTTAGGGGAATGGTTTTAGGTTTTTTTTGTTTGAGTTGAGAGTTGTAATGAAACGGAAACAAGAAAAGGTGTACAAACAAAATATTGTCTTCTACATATAAACAGAAGCAAAATCGCTCCTTTATTGTCTGTGTCAACAAATGAGGCCAAATTGTATTTCCTGATAAAAGTCAACCGGTCAATTAGCAATTTGATATTACATTGACTTGGCTTTCACGTAATGTGATTGACTTGGTTGATTTCGACGACTTTGTCCGGCAGATAGAGGGCAAAGCGCGTTACTGGACTGAACTAAGCGACTCCACATCATCAACGGGATTGCCAGGGTGCTTCTCTACCTTCATCAGAATTCTGAGGCCGAGAATCATACACAGACATCTGAAAGCTAGCAACGCTGTAGCTCGATCACGAGATGAACCGCAAAATATCAGACTTTGGCATGGCCAGGAGCTTTGCAGGGGACGAAAGTAGCGCGAACACCAACAGAATCGTGGGAGCATAGTAAAATCTCAAGAAAGAATGAGGGGCTTCCTATCGAGCAGTCAACAATGTAATGGTGATCTCATTGGTAGAAGATTCTTGCTCAAAAACTTTCCTTTCTGTGAAAAACCCAGGCTCTGTTGGTTCAGGCAGCACAATATCGCTGCTCAACATCAAAACCACATTCGACATGTTAGGCCTGTCTTCCGGACCTTGCTGAACACACAGCAAAGCGACATGGATACACCTCACTACTTCTGATAGCACCCACGAATCCTTTACTGTTTCATCCATCAGTTCTTCAGGCTGCCCTTCTTTGTACAGCCTCCACGCCTGTAAAGAAGAAAACCCGAAAAAGAGTTTCAGAATGTTGGTGATATCAGTTGGCTCATCATGGAGAGAAGAGGAGAGCTTTGATATGTGAAGAAATCTTACGTGGCCTAGAAGGTTGTGGTTGTGATCCTCGTGATAAAACCCTCTGTTTCTCTTCCCACATATGATCTCCAGTACCAGGACTCCGTAGCTGAACACGTCTGATTTAATCGAGAACTGTCCATCGATGGCGTACTCTGGAGACATGTATCCACTGCACATGGAATGAAGGATAATGCAAAGTCAGATGAGAACTCTCCCTGCGCAGAGATTGGTCTTTCTGGTACTTTGAAACTTTCTACTTACTATGTTCCGACCACCCTCTTCGTGCTGCTTTGGGTTTCATTAGCACCGAAAATCCTGGCCATGCCAAAATCTGAGATTTTGGGGTTCATGTTGTAATCCAACAGTACATTGCTCGCCTTAAGGTCTCTGTGAATGATTCTCAGCCTGGAATCTTGATGCAGATACAGCAAACCCCGAGCAATACCATTTATGATTTGGAATAGCATCGGCCAATCCAGTAGCTTCCTCTGCTTTTGATCTATATTATAGAGTATATAAGCAAGACCAGTTATAATTATGATGATAGTTAATACTTGAACAACAGAGAAAACAGAAAAGCCGTGGAAAAGGTGAAATACCAAAAATGAAGGCATCCAAGCCTTTGTTGGGCATGTATTCATAGACCAAAACCTTCTCTTCTTTCTCAATGCAACAGCCCAAGAGCCTCACGAGGTTTCTGTGTTGGAGTTTGGCAATGGTTTTGACTTCGTTCTTGAACTCGTCAAGTCCTTGTGTCGAATCCTTCGATAGCCTCTTCACTGCGACCTCTTGCCCATCTTTAAAAATACCCTGTAAAGATAATTCCCATTCTTAATACCCTTTTGTCTTGATAAATACTTTCCCCACTCCCCAGAGAAACTGGAATACTGAAATGCCACATACCTTGTACACTGGTCCAAATCCACCTTCTCCAAGCTTTCTGCTTTCAGAGAAAAGGTCAGTGGCAGAAGCTATCGTCGAGAAATCAAACAAGGGCAGCTCGAGATCGTGCTCTCGAGATACATCCCCTGTATGGTCTCTTTCTTGTGTCATAATGATGCTTGCTGCAAAGCAACAATCCCCATGAGAAAGAAATACCTCAACAAAGAGCACCAACAGTGATTGCTTAGCAAGAGCACAACTCTCAATTAACACAATACCTTGTCTCTGAAGCCTTTTCCTTCTGAAACGGAAGATCAAGAAGAGGCCTAGAACCGCAATCCCCACCGCCAGCAGACACACAGCTATGATCCATAATCTGGTCTTCCTTTTCGAGCCGCCACCTGACACTGCCACCATCCACAAATTCCCAATTACATATTCAGAAACGTGCCGAGAAATTGGTCCTATCATGCCAACGGAACTACACTAGATTTGGCGCTTTTCATTGTCAATTGAAGTTGTATCATGTATGTAACAGTCAAATGTTTCTGAAAGTGACAAAAGCAGGAAGAAAAAAAAAATGGCGCGCAGCTAATTGTCTGCATTTGACAACTTCAGCAAGACAGCAATGCTCGTTCTCAATCCTTCAAAGTTGAAAACTTTAACTTTGACTTCGATGCAAAACCAGAAGGGAAGTGTGGCGGAAGAAAAGGCGTACCCAAATCAGAAGCTGCAAGCCGGATGAAGAAATCCTGACCATCCTCCGTATAGTGCCTAACATCAACAAGATCACCGAACCAAAGCAAGCACCCACTTCCATCACTGACATTCAGAGCAGAGTAAGCCGTACACGAGCAATCCCTCAAGCAAGTCGCCTCGCATTCCCCCAAATCCATACTCGAATTGTACGACGACGTGTTCGTATCAGGCAGCTTCACACTCACAATCCTCTGAAACCCTTCGCCGGCACCACAAACCGAATCATTCCGCCGTACGCACCCGCCGGCCCAGTCCCCTGAATCCCAATCCCGCCGCGACCTCGGCTCGAACCCGATTAGGCAACCGCACGGCGGCGAATTGTTGATGTTGCAGCTCCCGTACGGGCCGCAGAGACCGTACCGGTCGCAATTGTCCATCTGGGCCGTCAGATAGAGGTTCCATGTCCGGCTGCTGGCGGTCCAAGTGAATCGCTGCAGAATCCCTTCGTTGTCCAGCACCATGCGGGAAATCACCGATTTGTCGGCGAGATCGAAGCGGTAGAAGATTTGCTCGGAGTTGTAGACGAACTCGTAGGTGTAGATTGGGTTGGGCCTCAAGTTGGGCATCCCGCTGAACCGGAGCCCGTTCCATGGGCCGGACCGGAACACGATGGTCTGGGCTTTCCGGATGAAGATTTGCGGGTACCCGTCGGGTTCGAGCCGGGTCGTGCAGTCGCCGGGGGACGGGTCGTCGGGGGATTTCCAGGAGGTGAGGTAACGGTCCCGGCCCGTTTCTCGGTTGTGACCGAATTCGAGGCCCGGGAGAATCGTGTCGCTCAAGTAGTCGAAGCTCTGCCAGAGGTAGTCATCGGATTCTCCGACGACAAGATTTCCGGTGTCGAGAAGCTGGGCGAGCGGATTTCGAATCGGGCTGGCTGGTTTTGTGCTATTGGTAGACCAAACGACTGCGGTTGAGGAGTTGAGGAGACGGAGGGTGCCGTCGGCGGCGAGTTGGAGGACGCCGGAGGAATCGGTGAGAGGGGAATCTCGATTGGCGACCCAGACGACGGATTGCTTGGAGAAGTTGTACCAGATTCCGAGGTAGCGAAGGTTCGTTGATGATGGTGAGGTAGGGGTGAAGAAACCGAGTTCGAAGCTGCCGCCGGCGGAGACGAGGGTCTGGCTCTGATTGTCGGCGATGGATTGGTTGACGGCCAATGTGTCGGCGGCGAGAGTGGAAGGTGAGAAGAACGGGAGGAGGAGAAGGGCAACAAAGAAATGGAGAAAGTTGGAGCCTTTCATGGGTGGATTTGGTGGGAAAACTCGAGGGGCGGAGAAGAATGTCTAATAACTTAAGTCCCTGCAATGAATAAATTACATTACTGGTAGGTCCTTGCATTTGATCTAGAAAGTTTTGACTCTGGTTTTCGCAGATTGATTTATTGATTTCAGGGGAGAAGAGTGAAGGAGACGGGTCAAGGAATTCAACGTAGTTCAATGTTGCGCCACTGCTACGTCACGCCGTCGTCTACTTCCCGGAGGAAGATTACGGCGCGGCGGCGCTACGACGAAGAATTCAATTCTGCAGAAGCAATTTCGTGTTGCTCGTACTCCAATTACTGGAGAGCTCGCGCTACAACTCTACTCGCATGAAGGGCTGCTATCTCAGCTCAAGTAACTAAGCAAGTTCCTGTTTTGAAAACGATGCAACGGTGATCATAGAAAAATGATTGCGTCTGCACTCTGCAGTGACATGCCCGCTAAGTGTTCGAAGAATTGCCTGAACGAGAAGATTGGTAATGACTGCTTGTTTTCCTGATGGGTTGATTGCTTTGAAAGGCGCAGTAATGGAGGTCAAGCTATTTTATCATTCTATACATCAAATGCAAAGACACGAACAAGGAACTAAGCTCTAGCATCAAATGTCATAAAAGCAGTAAGTACTCTTTGCGTTATCTCCACTTGCCTTCTGCATTATCTTGCTTCTATTTCAGTTATACTAATATCTGCTGAATACTTGTTTGTTGAAGATTTGGCAACTTCTACAAAATCTCTTTCACCGTAGAACCCTGGTTCTTTAGGCTGAGGCAAGTCGCCTTCACAGCTCAACATAAGAACCACAGATGACATGTTAGGCCTGTCCTCTGGACTTCTTTGAATGCAAAGAAGAGCAATGTTGACTGACCGGAACACTTGTTCGAGGTCGCATGAATTTCTTACTGTGTTATCTATCACTTCCTCGTACTTTCCTTCCTGATATAGCTTCCATGCCTAAACCAAATGAAATAGCATCGTTCGTTATCATGTGTCATTGGAATCATTTTGAGCGGTGAAGATAAAGTGTCACTTACATGGCCAAGAAGGTTGAGTTGATGATCTGGATGAGAGAAGCCCCTGTTCCTTTTCCCACTCACAATCTCTAGCACCATCACCCCAAAACTGAACACATCCGACTTCACCGAGTAGATGCCGTCGATTGCATACTCAGGTGACATGTAACCACTGTCATGAAATACCCATGAATTTTAAGTAAAAAAGGCTTTGACTTTACATTCATGAATGAAAGAAAGCATCAACAGGTTGGTGGATGTATACACTTACTATGTGCCGACCACCTTCCTGGTGTTTGTTTTGCTATCACTCTCTGAAAAGCTTCTCGCCAATCCGAAATCTGAAATTTTAGGGTTCATCTCAAAATCCAGTAGGATGTTGCCGGCTTTTAGATCCCTATGGATTATTCTGAGTCTTGAATCTTGGTGGAGGTACAGGATTCCGCGAGCAATCCCATTGATGATCTGGTACCGGGTAGGCCAATCCAGTAACATGCTCTGATTTTCATCTGCAGGTCATTGCTTACCCAGTCAGTCAGTCAGTCCACTATATTTTCACATTCACACATTAAGTAAGCACAAAAGGGCAGAATCCATTACTGAAAATGAAGTAGTCCAAGCTTTTGTTAGGCATAAGCTCGTAGACCAAAATCATCTCTTCTTCTTGAATGCAGCATCCTAAGAGCTTCACGAGATTCCTGTGCTGAAGTTTGGCAATGTGCTTGGCCTCGTTCTTGAACTCACCAAGTCCTTGTTTCGAATCCTTTGATAGCCTCTTCACTGCTATTTCTTGTCCATCTTTCAGTACTCCCTGTAAAATGGTTTTGATAAGACTTAAGCCACCACCCATCTCTGTTCTCGAACTTCATCGATACATCCACTGACTGATCGGCTTGCTCATCAAGTTCTTATCTTACCTTATAGACAGGTCCAAAACCTCCTTCTCCAACTACATTGCTAAGTGAGAAGTTATTTGTTGCTACAGAAATTGCAGCTATATCAAACAGTGGCAGTTCCAAATCATCCTTGTTTGTACTGAACCTTGCATTGTCTTCTGGATCACCTCCCATTTCTCCTGAGATATAGGAAAAACAACCACCTCTCTCATAAACTAGAATCCCCAAGCTATCATCTAACAAAACTTGTGTGTATGAACTTCAGACAGTTAGAACACTTACTCTGCCTTTTCTGCCTCAAATGCCGCAGAAAGAAGATTAAGGCTAGACATATTAGCAGCAGCCCTGCAGATAACACAACGCTCAGTACGATGACTTGCTTCCTCGTACTGGATTTGGAATTCGTCTCTGAATCCCCAGTTGCTTCTACATGGAGCAGCCAGACAAGAGGAATAGAACTTTGAATTAGTAAAGTGTATACACAGACAGTTTCTTTTGGATAATTAAGTTCAGGTTCCTTACCTATCTCAGAAGCAGCCATCCTTATGTAGATATCTTGTCCACTATCTTCTAGCTCTCTAATATCAATCAACTCACTAAACCAAAGCAGACACCCACTCCCTCCATTCCTGATATCAATATTAGCATAAGCTGTACAATTGCAGCTCCTCAAGCAATTTCCCCTGCACTCTTCGAGACTCATACTCACGTTGAACCACGATCTACGTGTTTCAGGCAGCTTAACTCCAGAGTACTTCACGAACCCATCTCCAGAGCAGTTTAGTGCAGTCTGCCGAACACAACCATTAGACCAGTTCACCAATTCCCACTCATTAGGAACCTTAGGCTCAAACCCTCTCAAGCAATTGCAAACAGGGGAGCTTCGTATGTTGCATCTACCGTACGCGCCACACAACGCATATCGATCGCAGAAGTCCATTTGAGCTGTGACATAAACCACCCAGCCTTGTGTATCTCCGGACCATGTCAGCCTCTGAATCACCCCATTCGGATTCAACACCAACCTCGACACGGTCGAAGTGTTGTCCAGTAGGTAGCTGTAGTAGATCTCCTGATCGCTAACAACGAACTGAAACATGTAAATGGGGTTTGGCCTCAGGTATGGCGTCCCACTAAACCTCAACCCATTCCAAGGTCCGGTTCGATAACGCTCTGTCGAGCCTTCACGCTGGATGATCTCAGGGTACCCTCTGGGGTCAATCCTGTACGTGAAACCACCGCTGGAAGGATCATCAGCTGCCTTGGAAGATGTCAGGTAGCGATCAAATCCTGTTCTTCTGTCTAATCCAAGCTTCATACCTGGAAGCAGCGTATCACACGGATAATCGAAGCTCTGCCATAAGAAGTTGTCATCATCCCCTGCCTCCCTCACAACCAAGTTGCCCGAATCCAGAAGCTGTGCGACTGGGTTCCGAGCTGGTCTCGATGAGTTGGAAGACCAGATTGACGGACCATCCTCGTCGAGACTCGAAAGCAGAGCGAGATTCCCCTGGCTGTTAACCGTGAGAAGCCCGGTTGACCCGTTGATCGGGTTGTCTCTGTTCGCAACCCAAACCACGGCTTGGCCTGGTATGTTGCGATACCAGATGCCCAAGTAACGATTCGTTGAACTGTTGCGTGGACTGAAGAATCCCAGCACGAATGTGTCGCCGGCAGAGACTATGGTGTCACCGTCTGCAATGGGCTGAGATGAATTGAATGTATCTACCGCCGTCGATTGCGTTATTGCCAGAAAAACAGAGGAACAGAAAAACAGAGCATGCGCCCAGCAGCAACCCATTGATGATGAATTGCTGATCGGAATTCTGCAATGGCCATACGGGAGGAGAGAAAATGATCTAAGGGAGATGCGAGTCCATGAAGTCAACAGCTTGATGCACCATTCAAAATAGTAATTATTGGAGAGGGTGATCCAATTCAACGGATTCAATCCCCTCCTTTTGCAAGTCATCGGTACCATTACTTTAATGGTCGTGTGAAAACAGGGGTTGTCCTTTTGATATTCATGACTCTCCAGCCACTTCTTTTTCTGCTTTCGGGACGAAGCAGCCAATTTTGTTTACAATATGTGCCTATTTGTTAAATGGGAATGTAGGAGAGAAGTGGTCAAAATATGATCTGGAAGACAAGGATGTATCCAAGATGCGACAGAGCAGAAATTCCTCGCCGTGCTTGAAGAGATAATGACGTTCAAAGATGAAAAAAGAAAGACTACCAGACGCCAATTTTCTTCCCAAGAAACTTCCTTTTAGATTTGATGACCCGGTTTTAGCAGTGTGTTTGGTGAAGTGGTACGATTCTGGGCCACATCTTCTTCCTCTGCCATGGCCCATGGCCAGGAAGGGAAGCTCCCTTTTCTGAACGTGCCGAATTGTCAATACTTTAGTTCTTGTGTGGCTCCAATGCAGTCTAACTATTTTGTTCGATAAATTCGCAGATGAGTTGGTCGAAAATCTTGGACTCATCGATATAATACCGACTAAAATTTGCACAACTGGTAGTTATGGTCATCATTTCACTGAATAATTTTTCCCCCCCAAGCAAACTAAATCGAAATATAATCACCGAAAATGATCAGTTATGATCTAAGAAGGTACATCGTTCACTTACAATCCGTGAGCATGTTCGCAGGACCCCTAAGAACGACCGTGTCTGGAAGCTGCATAACCATATGATACCACTACGGCAACAAGCACCCCAAGCACCAAGGAGAATAGCTGAAAGTTAGCCAGCAGCTCGCCACGAACCCTGCTGGCAGCTGATCCACAAGCAATTTGATCTCCTGTGAGCTGACAACCGTCAGGCATCATCGGGCCGTAGAGGCTGAAGGCTGTCTGATAGAACCACAAGCCTTGGAGAGTGATGGCAATGCCGTTGGTCAAGTCGACTGGAAAGCTCGTCGGGAGGAGTGCTCCAGCCACGGAGGAGACCACGCATAGTCCTATCAGGAGGACGAGGATCAGATGATAGTAACCTTCGAGGCCCTTATGGCTTGTCGAGTGGAAGTAGAACAGCAGGTACTCTGCACAAAATGCAGTGGCGGCTATCAAGCAAAGGGCTCCTTCTGGTAATGGTAGAAACCTGAACATGCAATTCAATCGCCAAAGGATAAGTTTGAAAACCAGCAGTAATCAGGAGATGGCTAAAATTGAAATATTAGCCACAGCAAAAGTACAGGGTAAACCAAGACAAGTACTGCTCCTAGTTTATTTTGCACCCATCAAACCAAAATTGAGATCACAAAACCTTACGGATCAGAATGTACATGAAACTACATACTAAACAACTTGAAAATGTTCCATTTGAATGACAATTCTACTCTACTTTTACCTGCAATTTCATGTTTATGCCATTTGCTGCTAAATAAAAAAACTGATTTGTTCTCGGACACCAAGAACGATGCTTTATTTAGTCGAAGTATGAGTGAGTCTGCCTGTCAAATAGAAACAATGACTGCGAAATTCTGCTCTTTCATTTGTTGTCCTTTCTCACCTTCTTTCTTAAGGAGCGGGGTTAAATGACAGACAATCGCTGGCACATTCCCAGCCAACAAAGTTTCATCCAGAATCGCAAAAATTGAAGGGGGTGAAAGATAAACCACTAACCTTGTTTTCTCTGATAGCAGGGCGACAACACCAAGGATGAAGAACATCAGCAACATCCCTGAATGCTCAAAATTGTTCAGGTGACTAGGATTCAGCACTCCATTGACGAAAAACCTGAGGTGTGTGGAGTACAAAAGCTCAATACATAGGTCTATTAAGGATCCGATCACGATGACGTAGAGCTCCAAGTGCTTCAACTTCCCTTCAAAACCTGGGACAGGATTCCAAACTCGAACTCGGAAAGACTTTGGATTGGAGACATAGCGAACCAGAGAACACCATGTGTGCCATACACCAATGATCAAGAATAGTGACCCAGGTACAACATGACCCTTGAAAGAACCCATTCGTCCAGTTTACAAATGCTGGTTTGTCTATGACTACAATATCGAACCCTTTGTCAACTCCACAAATTACACTATGCCAAGTTGATTCAACAAACCTGGAACCTCATCTGAAAGTATAAACACAAGTTCGTTATCAGTTGAACTTCATGGTTTTCGTTTCTGGACAAACACTTCAGAATTTTAAGTTCCGATATTGCGATTTTCATCATTGAAGAGCTCTTCAAAGAAGATGTTAGCATAGAAAGACCAATTCTGCATAACTCAAACCTCATGAAATGCATTAGAATTTTAAAGGCCCAGGAAAACATACAGCCAACGCCATCAAAACCTATCCCAGTTAACCATGGAGCGAAAACACTTGGAAAGATAAGAAGGCAGTATCATGCGCACAATATCTATCCATGATTTTCTCAAAGCCTACTCTTCGTTAGAACTGTTTGCAGCTGAAAGGGAAGACTGCGGGTCCATTTTTCCCCAGCAGCTGAAGTTCTCATCTTTCATATATGCTCTTGAAGTTAGAGATGTCCACCCACAAACCCAAGCACAATAACACAAATCTTGGTCCAATCTTGAAGATATGGAACTGCAAACAAGATCCTACTACTCTTCGCAGGACTCATCCTACCATAGATGAAACTAAACAATTCCAACCCTCTTGAATTCTAAACGTGGCGAACTATACCGAGCAGGTTCCTAGTAGAAAATCCAACTGCGCCAATTGAAAAAATACAAGCTTGTTTATGTTTCCAAAGGAGCTGGCACTAGTTCGCACAATCAGAGTCAAGAAGAGGACTAGCAATTCAGCTGATCAGTTAAACCCCATATTTCGAAATAAGTTCCATTCACAATCAGTTCAGACCGATGGCCAAACAAACAAGCATACAAATCGAGCATCTGGAGAAAGAAGCAAAACAAATCGAACCTTAAGGACATATAATCAGAAATTGACTATGGCAGAACAGAGAACACGAACCTGGGAGCTGAAAAGGTGGCCGGTGGAATGAACAGAGACGGAATTCCAGATCAAAAGAGACAGAAAGCCAAGCCTCAGCCGGCGACAATGCCGCCCAAACAAAACGACCGGGAGAGCAAACCGAGAAATTGTTTGTAGTCGGGATTCGGGAACAGAGAAAGGGATTATTGTTTGGCAAGACACCGACTTGCAGTGGGAACGGTTTAATTATTTGTTAATTCCCTGCTTTTATTTCATCCGCCGAGTCGGAGGGAGGCAGCCGCTGGGGAGAAGGAAAGTCGGCGGCGGAGGTTGCGTTTCAACAAGCCGGCGGGAAGAGGAAAATCCGATGTATCGACTCGCTTCTGGAGAGCCAGCCAGCCATGACCATGACAGGTCAAGTTTGGATGGATGCAGCCACGTTGACTTTGTCCTAAATCGCAAACAGTTTGTGGACTGATTGTCTGAACTAAGAACTGCTAAATTTTTTTTGGCCCAAGTGAAAGCCCAAGAGAGCATTGGTGGATATGGGCCTCTAGGCCCAAAGGCCAAGGCCAGTCACGCGGCTGGTCTTTTTCTGGTCAGACTGAGGAGGGAAAGTCAAGTCTCGTCTCTTCTCCCGCGAAACGGTTCCAAAACAAAGAATGGATCTCCTTTACAATGCATACTCCAACGGCGACGACGACGACGACGATGAGCCGCGGCGGCGACCGGAATCCAAACGGCCTAAAATCTTCACTCCTCCTTCTCATCACCAACTCCAGCCCTAATTTTCAGGTTTAGGGCACCCTCCTCCGATGAAGCGTCTCTGAACCGAAACAGTCGTCAACGTTCAAACAGATGCTCCGGCTCCGGGAAGATACTTATCCAAGCGAGAGCGAGCTCTCTTGAGTAAGAGTGCCCCGGTTGCTGAACAGTCCCCTGTTGATGATAATCAGGATCAGAACCCTGATGCTCTCACTTCCCCTGGTACTGTGACTTTACAACTTTGGGCTGGTGGGTTTCGGTTTTCTGCTTGCTCACGAATGTGTTAATTTTTCCTTGTTTGATGTGTTGTTGATGAGGTAATGTTTACTTGATATCCTTCAGTTGTTGAATTATGAGATTAGCTGGAGCACCGGGGGCAAAAAAGAAGTTGATTGAAAAACAGTCTCGTGTTGATATTTGGTGTTAGAGGCTTGCAAGTTTGTTGTTTGCATGTTTACATTGTTGGAACATAGAAGTAATCGGGATCAAGTTTCTATCTTGCCGAAGTTTTGATGTGATTTTGTTCTGCTGTTGGTGCTTGTTGCATTCTCTTATTGGTGGGAGGGGGAGGAAAAGTTTTGTACGTGGCAGAACTGAATCCTTAGTTGAGTGATATTAGGGACTACCAAAACTGTTAGTCTTGCTTAGATCGGCTTACATAGGGTATCATGTCGAACTGCAAGGAGCTGAGAGCTCAATAAGCTAGTATGTTTTGCATCGCCTATTGAAGTCGATGTGGATCTGTCGTAAAATGACGCTGTAGCTTAACAATCCTTTAGAACTCAATATGTTTCTAGTTTTCAACTTATGGTGCTGTATGCTTTTTTTTTCTTAATTACCTACATTCTTGATTCTCCTTTCATGCCCTTATCTTCTTCATATTTCACTTATGGTTTGCATCTTTTTCTAGCTCATGTCTTTTCTTTCCTGTCTCATCAGTTCGAGTAGGTATCAAGGATTCAGATTTACCCTATGATATCGTATCAACCTTGAGAAACCCGAGTGATCGTGCAAAGCTAAGCCAAATACCTGAAAGGATGTCCATAGCTCTTAACAGCCATAAAAATGCAGTCAATGCTCTCAATTGGTCGTCCAACCATGGTATGCTTATTTTTTCACTTATGTTCTCCCCTCATTTATTCATCTTGTTTTTGTAACCCAATATTTTAACTGCAACTCGCATATCAATCATAGTGAGCTTTATGTGATTTTGTAATTTCTGCAACTTTATTCATCTGTAATTGAGCTGGATGTATGTTTGAGTTTGAAAATTAGGTAATGCAATCACTGTTGGTTTCACTACCCTAATTTGCTGGGATGTTGTTGCCCTGTTGACGTCTTTGCTATAGTCAATCTACAGGTCATCTTCTTGCATCTGCTGGGATGGATCACACTCTCTGCATATGGAATGTCTGGAGCAGAAGCCAGAAAACAGCTCATACATTTAGGTTCCACAGTGCAGCAGTAAAAGATGCACGATGGTCCCCTCATGGATTCACTGTACTCTCCTGTGGGTACGACTGTTCTTCCAGATTGATTGACGTGGAGAAGGGAATACAGACTCAGATTTCTCAGGAAGATCAGGCAGTTCTGGTTGTGAAGTTCACAGAATTCAAACCTCTTCCTTTCTGGAGGCTCAGCTGGAAAAATAAGATTATGGGATATTAGGACTGGGAATGTTTTCCATGAATACAAGCGAGGTCTAGGTCCTATTCTTGATGTTGACTTTACAAGAAATGGGAAGCAGTTTATCTCGTCTAGTGATGTTTCTGGAGGCAACGTCACTGAAAATGCAATTATTGTTTGGGATGTTTCACGAGAGGTGCCATTGTCAAACCAGGTAAAATAGGCAGCATCTTTGTTTTTTTATAAGTGATGAGGAGGCAGCTTCTTTTCTTAACCGTAGACATCATGCTATTACCAAATTATGTTTGCTTAATTATTGATTTATTTAATCATGTGCAATTTCTCTATGATTACAGTGAAATCTATATAGATGCAGAATTAGATGAAAGGTTAACTGATAGAAGAACAGCAGTTATTGTAACTTAACTTAGATTCTTGTTGGAAGAGTAGCCCCAGTAGTATAGCCCAGTATACCTGCAGGCCAAGCTGTAAACTTGCAGACTGCAGTAGCATAGGCAAATTGCACAGCAACCAACTACATATGATGTTTAGACAGCTTGACTATGAGAACCCTGATAACCATGGTACTAATGTATTAGTATAGTACAAAACAGGATTCAATCAATTTTTATGTGTTTGTATGCATGTCCTTGTTACTTTGCCATGTTATCATAATTCACGTCTTTTTTACTTGTACAGGATTAATTTTGATAAAACTGTTTCATTGTGTATAAGTAACATAGTTTTACAGAACTTTGAATATATACAATATGATGCTCGGAGATTAGATTTCCTGCATGCCAAGTTTCTACCTTGGATGCTCATTATAAAATGGTGTGCTTATCTAAAAAATGTGGTGGTCATTTAAGTAAAACTTGGCCCTGTGACTTCATCCTTTTGTATGAGGATACTTGCTAGAAGCTGGCTTTCTCGCCATCTTGAGGCACAAAGGTCAGGAAGAAGCAGTGAAGATATGTTTTTCACTGAGATGCTGGACTTTCCTGTGTCCTTGTGGCTGCCCTTACAAATTATTTCCTTTCCTGCTATGTGACTCACAAATTCACTAAAGTAATTCACTTGATTGAAAGATTGTTGTTCCAATTCATGACATTCCTCGGTTCCACATAGATGTTTTAGGGACATTGTTCGATAAACATTCTTCGTTGGGTTCTGAACTTTTTATGTTACTGTTTTCTTTTTTCTTTTTTACCAGGTTTATGCCGAAGCCTTTACCTGCCCCTGCATCAGGACCCACCCATACGATCCATCATTCATCGCCCAATCCAATGGGGATTACATTGCAATCTTCTCTTTAAAAATCCCCTTTCAAGCTAGACAAGTACCGAAGGTACGAAAGTCATGGGGTGTCTGGATTTCCAATCAAGTGCGATTTCAGTTTGGACGGTGAGAAGATAGCCTCAGGCTCCTCAGATGGCTCAATACACTTCTACAGATACAGGTCATCAGAGCTTATCAGGAAAATAAAAGCATACGATCAACCCTGCACGGGAGTTGCTTTCCATCCAGTCATGCCGAATGTGATTGCTTCGTGTAGTTGGGATGGGAAGATCTCAATCTTCGAGTGATGTAGTTTGTTCCAATTACTTCATTATTGTCACAGCAGCTGGAAAAGGGTGGTGATGAGCAATCTGGCCCAGGTGATGCATTCTTCATGTTATGAAACTCTCGTTTTCCAAATTCTCTGTGTTGTTGCTTTCATTCATGCAGGGAGCCTGGAAAGTTTCATGTGGGTTGTAACCCCAGACAGTAAGATGTGGGTATGCTGAATAATTTGGAGTGTGGTCGAGTGACCATCACTTTGGTGCAGGGTTGGGAGACAAAAGGTTGAATTGATGGTGGGGTGAGACAGTTACAGGTTTACACCTCCCATTATTCGCATGCGTGCAGTAGGGGCTCACTACTTAGTACCAATGGCTTTCTTGTATGTATGTGTGTGTGACTGTGTGGTTTGATAGTTTACTCTCCTTTTTTTCATGTCAGCAGTGGAACCTGAGAAAGTGAAATGTGATTTTTGGCTTTGGGTTTGACAGTACTTTCAGGAAAGGGGAAGGAGGGTGGAAAGAATGGAAGGCGATAGGCATTGAAGCTGTGAGTCCACATCATTAGCTTGCTGGCTGGCTTGGTTTCCACTCTGAATGGTCACTGTCTCATTTTTGTGGAGAAACATAACCTGAAATATCTCTTCTTTTCTTCTTTTTTGCCGTATGGATAAGCCCTAGCATTAGCCCTTAGCTTGTCATGGAACTGCATTCTGATTGAATACCATGGATGACTTTCTTTACTTGATAACTGATTGAAGTTGATGACTTCATGAGCTCTTGCTGTTATGTCTTTGTTTTGGAACCATCAGGCGTTGTCTGTCACTACTCACCAGTAACATATAGAATTGTCCAGAAGCATTGTTGTGGATGTAAGAACTGGAATTTCTACTCTATGTTCATAGGCTCTAGTCTAGGCCTTGTTCGTGAGAATTGAACAGCAAGGAGAAAAAGCCTGCAATTATGGGCGATAATTGTACGTGGGAGTTGGGGGACAGAGTGTGTCCTGTGCCAGTACAGATGAATAAGACAGTGCCAAGCGTGGAAAACTCTTTATGGCCAGGCCCTGGCCGTTGAGGTCCAAACCAAAAACAGTGACTTTTCCCCCCCTGTAACAACTTAACCCAGTTTTGGTGTTTGTGATCACAGCATGAACGTAGGGGCGGAACGACCTCTCGATCTACTTACTGCAGCCCAGGAATAAAAACGTCCACGTGTTGGGCGCTCCACAGCCGTTTCCATTCAACGACCGTAGAGTCTCCAACACGTGATCCGACAGCTGGAGTCCTTGCGAGCACATTTTCATAGGCACTCTGTGAGCACTATAGTCGGATTGAATACATGGCATGAATTACTACAATCATAGTCACTAAGTCACGCTTTTCGAGTTTTGCAAATATAGTTACTGGAAAACAAATTTGATTGCTCCGTCTGCACCCAAAATGAAGAAGATAACCATGGTCCAATTGTCGATATGGTAAGAGCTTTTAAGTAATTCAGATCTATGCACTTTAATATTGTCGTCTTATCGTCGACAATACTAAATCAATGGTTTATCGATCAATACGAGAAATTATATTTGTATCTCAATTGATTGTTTTGTTGTGTGTGTCAAGCAAGTTCATTTGGCGAACGGATTAAGAATTTGATCCACCCGAGCAAAAAAGGTTAACCAGCTGGATCACCCTTATCACAATTCCACTCAACTTTTGCGAATTTTTAACACGTAGAAATATCATGAAAACTTTTTCTAGTACACCATCATCCTTTTAGTACTATGCACACAATCTTTCAAGCATTGCATCGTAAGTTCATAACTATCTGTAAAAGGAAAGAATAAAAAACAAAGAACTTCTAGTTTCAACCTTCAATCATAGTAATATAGAGACCAAAGTTTTCCTTATTTTTTGTTCATCATCTACTTATCCGTCGACAATGTTCAAGAAATACGTCGAGAGCTCAGAGCCCTAGTTAGTGCCTAGCACATACATGATCCATTCACCTTGAGTAGTTAGTTTACATCATCATAAAGATGGCATACATAATGGAATCAAATCAAAGCTTGCTTTTGTACAGATCGAGAGCACTTCAATCCAATGAGGAGGTTTCCATTACGGGTTGGGTTCACCAACTTGGGTTGCGAAGTGTACGAAATGCTTGTGCAAAATGCAGTAATGCAAATGCCAATCCAAGATGGCCACAGAAAAGAAGACGTCGAATCTGTCAAAAGCACACCACATTTGACAAAATGGCAACCCCATCATGAGGAGAGCCCTAGCTAGCTAGTTAGCCATGATAATACGTCTATAATATTGGTTGCTCGTTAACTAAACAAAACCCTAATATAGTATTCAACAGTTTTCCATCAATGAAGGGGAGAAAGGCAGGGTGGTGGAGGGGCAGAGAAAGAGATGAGACTAGAAAGCATAATAAGAGGAAGACAAGCTAGAGGGATTATTGAGGGTTCTCAACCGATCTGACAGTTTCGAGCGTCTGAGGGCGATCTTTCAATTGGACTCGACTCAATCACGACGACGGCGATACAGTCGATCTCGACATCATCTGATCAGAAGCATTCATCAAACATTACTGTCTCTGCCTTATCATTTACAGTCTCATGCATCGAGTACTGGATTGTTAGGATTTCTCATAACTATAGAGAGGAAATTTCGTACCGGGTTATTTAGAGTCCCAAAAATTTTTGATTCCACAAAAGACATACTGACTCTAATCTTCATTAGCGACTGTGTACAACTTAATCATAATTTTTTTTTTGTACAATATTAATATTACGAGGTAGCGGTGATTTGACTGAAGTAGAGGAAGAAGAGTAGAGGGTGTGAGGGCAAAATGGTAGAGAAGAATAAAATATTAGGGCAACGACATAATTATTGAGGGTGTGTAGTTCTTTCTAAGCTTAAATTAAATATCATACATTGTTTAATATTATAGTTGTACATTACATGAGCTATGGAGGTCAAGATTGGAGGAGGAGGGGGGACAAGGCCACACCACTCTTTCCCTTTTTAGATGAGACTTTGGTGGTCTATATAATTGGAACCCCTAACCCACCCCATGCATTTTGTTCCAATAAAGCCTCCCAACTTCCAACTCCACCTCCTATGGTCATCAACAAGCCAACACCCTCCCCACAAGTCAATATTACTATAAGCAAGTTTCTTAGGTCGCATTAATTCGTTACAACATATTCAAGAGTCTCAAGCTCAAAGGTTTCGTGTTGAAATGAGTCTCTAACTTAGAGGTTTCGTGCTGATAAAATTATGACAATACCAGCTTCGAAAAACATACGTAAATTTCAAATTCACGAGGTTGGTTTTCATTTGGAGGACATTTAAAAAAATGATATGAGATATGTTCTTAAACCCTCTAATAACGAGAGTTATTGAGATGTATTGATTCTTCCCATACTAAGCATCAGCCAGATTGTAAGGACATTCCGAAAATTCATGACTAGACTAAGCATTTTACCTAGCTATGTATGGTTGGGATTAGAAGGAAAGTTTGCACCGTGAATTAGGCTTTGCCGTAGACCAAATCTAAAAAGCACATAGGGTATTGATATCACATCCAACCACTACTATATCCATCTTCATGGATTACATCCCTTGTATACTTAAATTTAGGTTTCTACTTTTAGCATAATAAACTAACTAATTGGGTCTTAGGTTATGAACATCTTGTGTTCATCATTTTCCAATCTTAAGGGATGGCTCACACATATCGTGTTTCGGGCATCCAATTGAGAATGTTGGAATGCTTTAAGTGATCTGATTGTCGAGCGGTACAAGTGGTAATTACAAGAGTCTTGTTGTCTGTGGCAGTAAACTAGCACATATTATCCTAGTGAACTACGTTATTTCATGTATTTAGTTTTCTTACTCTGTCGATTCATTGTCGGCGGTAACAGATAAGGTAATGCAAATGCATCATCAATAAAGGAAACCTTAGTTTATTATATCAACATAGCTAGATAGCTAGGGTAGCACAATCAAGAGGAAGCCAACAGAAGCAAATGTGCATTTAGAGAACATGAATGGTCCACAAATGTCTAATGGAAAAACTTATATAAATGTGCTATGCTATCTCTTTGACTCTTCTCCCCCTATAGCCATTTTTAAGTGAGGAACTCACTTTTATATAATGCAACTCATAGCTAGCTACCTATATATAATTTGGATCCTAATATAATGGATTTTTTCAAAACATATCCTGTTTATTGATAAATTAATTAATTAATTAATTAATTATTCAAATGGATAGACTATAATATGTACATATATTCATTCAAACTTCCATATGACTATGTTCCCCACTTTAATTGGTCTTAAGAATATACACCACACCCTTTCCTCCATCTACAGAATCTAGCACACACTCCACACCACCTGTCTCTTTTTGTCTGGCCATTAACTTAATTTCTTCCCACAAACAACAGAGAAGTAGAGAACAAGTCAAAATATCAATGGTATATTGAGTTAAATTCAACGAGGAAATTAAATATATAATTTTGGTCAATGAAGTGCATGCATAGTAGTCTTATCCTAATGGAGGGGAAGAGATCTCAAATAATTTGGACTTGCAAACAGTAAGTGTTTTTTTTTTAATGAATCTGGTATTTTCTTTTATTGGGAGATAATATGTAAATGATGAATCGACTACGATGAAAGAGTACACGAAAGGTGGGACATGATACATATGGGAATGCTACACAAATTTAATTATAGTGGCTGGAAGGAATTTAGACTTCAGTTGTACTACATCAACTAAGATCGGATGTTGATCATGGAGAAGTGAGTTGATAATCTATACATCATTAAGTCACTATATCAAATATTTGCTCAATATATTCATATTATAATCTGAGGTCAGATGTCCAATGTGGCCTGACCTCTTGAATTTCACATAGTTATGCTTCTGAATTGTCAGATATTTCAGCAAGCCAATCAAACTCAGTTCGTTCAACGAATCACGTAAAGATGAAAATATCATCTTAACTCCAAAGTTTTACAATGAGTTTGAATCATATCAACAGGTGGTGACCATGCATATATGTTCGTAGCTCTAACAACTAACAAGAACTACTTGAGGGAGGGGGCAATAGAGTGCAAGAAGGGGGGGGGGGGGGGGGGAAATCCCCCCACTTTCGCCTCTTTTATGGGTGTACTAGAGAAATCTCTGTTCGATTGATAAAATGTTAAGCACATTTGACAAAACTGATCGAATCGTATCGTACAAGCGGTTCACCCTCCTCCGTGACTATATAATTCACCACCTTCTTCCATAATGTATATAGCTAGGTAACTCACCAATTATATGCCTCAATAGCATTTACCTAATGAAGCAACAAGGCAAAGACCAATGATGCAAGGTGTAAAGGGCTTGGGGGGATCATGAACAAACAAGAATGAAGCAACAAGGCAAAGATTGTGGCTGATTCATATGGCAAATTGGATGGAACCATCATTATGTATCAGAAAAAAAGTAAAAGTAGAGAGCAAAAGGATCATGTCTGAAATGTACACTGTGCCCTTATAACTGTGCCTGCAATTATATACTCTCTTTAAGTCTAGAGAGAGAGAGAGAATGTGCAGAATATGCAATGTACTTGTGGAGAAACCGAGTGTGTTGGTCTTGGCCAGGACCCACTGGCCGGCCCAACCGGCGACAAGAAACAATGGGCTCAAAGGTTTACAGTCTTCAGCAAAAACGGATGGGGTGCAAATTGGGCAATTATGTGACCAAAAGTAGACATGCTCAAAAAAAATATTGTTTATGGTAATCACTAGCTTGATTGTTATGTACATCTACCCCAAATTATTTGTTTTTGTAGATAAGTTGATGGAACATTCTTTGACTTTTAACACATCTGCAGATACAATTATGCTTGGTAGAATCAAGAATTTGTTGTCCTAGAAAGAAACTTACTGTGCATTTTCATAAGTTAGGGGGTCATCTGGACGCGATAGATTTAATAAATGAGGCGATTTCAGTTCATGTGGATTTATATTGGTTTTTCATCTGTGCTTGACACGTTCTACATGATACCTTTAATTCCTGTTATCTGGTCACCTAAAAAAGCTATAGGGAAGAACGACCTCGAGACAAAAATATCCTTATTGTTAAGTTAAATCTTCCATCTAAGAAGCTAGCACCGGCACATGTGTTTCGAGTTGAAATAAGTCGTTCTTGTGTTGGATACTGGGATTTGAGCTAGCCTCATGCCTCACCCCCTCCTCGATCAAGAAGGGACGAATTTATCTTATAATCTATGTGACTCGATTTTCCTCTCTCGGGTGTTGTTACTGAATGTCATGTACTCAGTAATCCAATTCATTTTTAGATTTACTAAAAATTATGTAATCTTTAGATCATGACTTTCCTTCAAATCTCTATTATTTTGTGATAATACTCATCATATAGGATAATACCCTAACTAAGATCGTATGTTTGTACCCTAGTCAATGTGTTTCTGTTATCAACTAATATCTCCAAAACTCAAAAATTAAATTTGAGTACCAAATCCAGCATCCTAATCCATCACCCACACAACCTTTTAAGACAATAGAAATAAATCATTACTTTAGGAGCTCATATATTAGAAAGAAAGGCTAATTAAGTTGTCTCCACTTTTGGATCCATCTTGTCACCTTTGTCTTTTCACTTTTCCCCCCCAACCCCAACTTTGATTTTGGATCATCAAATTAAACCCTCTCATTACCCTAATCCTAAATGGGTTTTCGATTGTAGTCCTACTAGACCAGACCACAATCAGTACTACTATTAACCAATGAAATATTGGGCTTTTACTCGACGGTATCATTCTAATGCAAACTGAGCAGCAGGCACACTCATTCTAATTTGAATCATAATCATAATCACCATATGTTTTTGCTTCCTAGTTAACTTATATTAATTAATTAATTAATTAGAATCATAATCATCATATCATAGGTTATTTTATGGTCTCTGTGTGCATGAAATTATGCAATTTAAGTTATAGGCTTTGCCCATCGAAATGATTCTGGTTTTTAGGGGTTGTTTTCTTTACCTGTTTAGGAAATAATCCCTAATTACGAGCCTCACTGGCTGGCCGGCGGCCGAAACCCTACCTTTCCGTTCTTCTATTTTGGTTTGTCGGTTGTTGGCTTTCAGTTACGGGATTGTCACTAAAAGGTATTCGCCACCAAAGTTCGTCCTTTCGTGGCCAGTTACGTCCGTCGCAAAAGAGCGTTTCTGCGGGTATACAATCACCATGAAAGAAACATGGAAGAAACAAAACTAGAATAATGCTAATAAATTATAAACTGTTTTTTTTTTTTTTTACGAATTGAAATCCTACCGAGTAGGATTTGGGGGTTTGCTCTTCCAAAAACCACATGAGTGTTTACCTTATAGTTGTGATGGGGCCGATTGAACTAAAAAATTAGATTTGAGTTTGGAGAAACTCAATCCGATCCGACGCCCTTCGAAGTGGTTAAAGCATATGGTGGTGACATATTGATAAAATAATCAAGTTTCTTGTCACGTTAGGTGATAAGATTACCTGATTCACGCATTTTTTCTCATTTATTCACGCCATATTTGTGTTATTCACGCCATATTGACGTTATTCACGTAATAGTGTTGCTTATTCATGCAATCAATATTTGTTTAGTCACGCAACCTGCAGGTGTTTATTCACACACGTTGTTATTTACTCACGCCATTGTAAAATTAAATTTTAGACTTTAAAATATATCAAAATGGATGTCATTGTGTAGATTATGATCAATGCAACATATTTTTACACACTAATTGAGTATCCAAATTTAATTCCATAAAATATAGCCAATACAAATTATTAGATGAAAAAGTCTAAATTTTCATTTACGTGAATAACTTACACTTTTACGTGAATAAACGTAGAATGAAGTAAATACACACCAAATGTTTTATCACCTGACATTCCATTGATAAATGATATTAACGTGGGAAGATAGGAGTTGAATCTCGGGATCCATCCCCCAATTAATTTAGGTATGAATCATCATTATCCAGCCAGCTAATGAATGGGAACATACAACTAATTAATTAACAAAGGGGAATTAGGGCAACAGGATCCTGGCTTAACGATCCAACGATGATCTCCCTCGAACCTTGGGCTTCAGCTTCCACACCGCGCGCTACTCTGTTCGCTGGTCGGCACATTTCTTTTTTTCGTTTTCAGGCGCTATAGTAAGTCTTGGATCGAATAGACTGCTAACACGTAATATATTAGTACTATTACTACGATAAATGGGTAATCATTATGTGGCAGTTTGTTTTTCACTCATATATTCTACTCTTAAGAAGTAAGTCCCCCCCAATTTGGAAAGACATTCTTTTATACCCCCACTCTCTCATTTCAGAACCTTTGTGTTTAGTTGTTGTCTATTGGGTCTGCATCTATTAATGTTTTATGAGTTTTCCATTATCATTATCGTCCACTAGGTTTTCAACTATTGTTCGTTGGTTTCTCCGTGATAGTTACTATCCACTGAGTTTTCATCTATTCTCTGATGATTCGCTGGCCAATTCACGACCTATCTAGAAACACTGTCGCCGGAATCCTAAGTTTTTTTCCCCTTCTACCGTTTGCCACGGTCGTTGATTTTTTGGCATTGTTAATTCCGTCTTCCAGGACGTATCTGAACAATCTATTGTACTTTAAAAAAAATATATTAACATTTAGGAACAATTTCAAATTCTATTTTTATTAAACTAATCACAATTCACAACCATCCCAAAACAACGAACTACCCTTTCACTTTTCAATCAACGTACATTCAAATTATTATTTTTTTAAAATATGAAATTCTCATTAACACGCGCGAAGCGGTAGCGAACTAACATATACTAGATATAGTGGAAGCAAGCAAGCAACATGACATATTATCATTAAATAGGAAAAAAAAATACAGGAAAATAAAGTCTTAAGGTCAAAGATATGCATTTTCTTCTTTTTTCTCTCCATACTCGGCAACATTCCCCACAGAAGAAGCACAGACTAAATAAATAATGGTTTCTTCCGGCGCTGACATAATATAATAAACTCCGGCCAGCCTCACGGAGGAGCATCCTTCCTCTAATCCTTCCTCGTGTAGTGTGGGCCCCACATCCGCCACCCACGATTAGTTAATATGGTATGTCGCCCCCCGTTGACTCAATCGCCTGCCGGCGTACGTGTCCAAAGATTCGGTCGATAACATATTTCCGGCGGATCCGATGGTATGATTTGTCGACCCCGTTGACCGTTCACCTGGCAGCTGGGTGCCGCCGCTCGATCGATCAGTCGATATATGTTGGGGGTGGTAGCCGTCAGACGGTGTGAACGGTCGGGTCAGGTCCACGGTGGTCGAACCATATACGTGGCGCGGTAGGGCTGGTTATTTGGTTCGAACTTTTTGGTTTTACTCAAAATCGGACCTTATAACTCGAACCGAGACTGGATAGCAAACAATCCAATCCAATCTTTGGCCCTAGATTTGAGGTAAAAACCGTTTGGGACCGGACCGAAAATCGGATAAAGACGGGATAAGGGAGCCCAATATCAAGAATTTAACCTCCTCACCCTTTCAGGCCTTTAGGCCACTCAAATCCCCCCTCAAACCACTCAAATCCCCACAAACTCAATCTAAAATCAAGATCGATTTGGGATCGGACCGGTTCAAAACTGGACTGGATCAAAACCGGATTATATCCAATCCAATTTTTGGTCCTTATATTCTCGAAAAAAATCAGACCGACACCGGATTAATTCAGACCAATTTAATCGGACCGGACCGTATAGCACGTGGCGGAGTACAGCTGTGAGTGTTGGGAGTAAGATATTATAATTTTGCTGGTCAAATGTGGACCGGAGCCCGGAGACGGAGGGCGCGGTGGAGATCAGGTCTGCCACTTTCGGTGATCGTAATCCTGAAACCCACCCCCCGGATTTCTGCCGATCTCCTCCTCTATATATATTATTTATTTCTTAGCAGATCGTATAGAATTATTGTTTTCTGCTGGCTAACGCAAACTTGTGAAAAAAGGGGTGGGTTTTTGTAAATAAAATACATCTAATTGATTTAGAAAGACCGGATCACATATCAAATCCCCCAAAATTAGAGAATTACGCACGGTTGATTGCATTGCAATTTGCATGCCGAAGAAGACAATCACTGATCATCAAGTATGCACCTTAAAATTAATTCATAATAATTAATACTTGTTCAAACTTGCTTCTTCCTCTTAGTTATTCATGGCCGTGGAGTGGGAGGGATTACGGTGCTAATTGTACAATAGTTAGCACCGTCCTAACCAAGGGAAAAACTACTACTAGTTTGAATTAGTAGTGATTTAGCTTAGATGTTGTATTGATTTTATAATAATCCGTAGTAATTTTTACTAGTTATCACGGTGCTAACCCCTATAAAAATTAGCACCTAATCCCATCCCCGTGGAGTGGAACCTTTGTCAACTTATTTTACAACAACTTAGTAGCCCGCCGCAATGTGATGAGAATAGTCAATGGGATCGACCAGAATGGTACGTGGGGAATGCAACATTTGATTCACGGAATTTAATTCCCAATAATTAGGGACAATTATATTAGGCCTAGATTGACCTTTTTATTCAATTTCCTTACTAGAAAGGTCATATATTTAGTGGTGAAAAAAAAATCCGGTATTTATCAAATTCAATTTATTATGGGTCAAATCATATTTGAATAATTTTAATTTTGAGCACACCCAAATTATTTTTTTTTTTAGTTAGGGTCTAGATTGGATTCATAGTATTGTATGTACCCTAAAGAAGATCATCAGTCAATTCTAATTTAGCTTTTGCCATTTATTTTTTTGTTATGAAACAAACAGAAATGTAAAAACACAAACATTAAAAGTGTAGTTGAATTCAAAGCCGTTAATGAGATGATTGATGTTGTTTTTGGTTCTACAAATAAATTTACCCAAATTAGACTCAATTCAAACCAAACCATTTAAAATATACATGCATATATATATATATATATATTCATTTAAATCTGACCCAATACTCGATTAGAAAAACGAATCAACCCATTATTTTTCTCTAAATAAATTATCATTTACGGAAAATAAATATAGCGTGCGTGAATTTATATCCCCATTTGACAAATGTCGTCATTGACCACTCCATTCAAAATCGCAGCTTAGTTAGAACTTTCTTTTTCCCCTTCTCTCAGTAGGATTTGTTAGGTACCAAATGGAATGGATATACATCCAAATTAAACTGTAATATTCATTATTACCAAGGCACGTAAAATACCTACAAGAGAGTCAATCCTCCAGCCAACTTTCCCGTCGTTTTCTTTGTTAGGAACAGACGTTTGACATACTTACATGCATGCATAAATACATACATTTCTCTCTCTCTCTCTCTCTAGTCTTTCATGTCAAAGCCGTGTAACTCGTAAATTAGGGTAACGAATCCACCTTCCTTTCACATTGTACATGGTCTAGGGTTATATATATATATATATGAACTACGATCTCAGAATCATATTAGTTTCTATGTTCTTTTCTTACTTCAATTGAATGTGATTGTCCTACTTTAATTTGGTACACTTTGTCTATATACAAATATATATATGCCACTTTAATACATGTGTTTTTTTTTTATACCATATCTACCACGTCAATTTATAACTTTAGAATATTCGGAAATCTTTCGAGGAGTCTAACGTAGGAAACATGCATGTTACAAAACAAAAAAAAACAAAAAAAAAACACATCGTCGCCAACTGTCGTGTTATTAGAAGGAGAGTGAATGACAGACTCACATGCATGTTTGAGTAATGCCTATGAGGCGCACATCATTCGTTGTGTTGTTAGTTGTTTGCGTGAGGTTGGATGTGTTAATAAAACTGTATATAATCCACGATTGAACCTTTCCCAACAACTCGAGTTATTGGGATCAACTGGTTCTTGACATGGTATCAGAGCCTTCTGTGACCGAGAGGTCTTCTGTTCGATTCCCGGTGACCCCCATCTGTTTCTGTTGTTTCTGTTAAGCACACGGTGTCCGGACCTGTGCCTGTCCAAATTCTAAACCTATCTGAATGACTTGAGTTTGAAGGGGGGTGTTAATAAAACGGTATATGATCCACGATTGAACCTCTCCCAACAACTCGAGTTATTGGGATCAACTGGTTCTTGACAGGATGGGTGCATACTAAGTACATAAAATTACATGCATTTTTGTGTGTAAATCATCCTTCTTATTTTCTTTTAACTCCATTTCATGTAGTGTTGAATTGAATCTATAGTACAACCTACATATAGTCCCATGATATAATTCGTTGATGGACACAACACATATATATGCAACAACTTTCGTGTAATCTCTTTTGTGTCTGCCCTTTAACACATCGAACTGATAAACAGGGTTCAGCAGTCGAGCTCCGACAGCTCACCTTGTTCTTGCATTGTGCTAGATTTAGTGTTTGCGGAAGGAAAACTGATTATTGCATAAAACGGTGTGTTGTTCCATTACACTGTGCAGCCTTAATAGCATCCACCAAATTACTATCTAGTACCTATACAAACTACGAATTACAATAACTACCCTGAATACAACAAAATTACAGTTTGTTCTATATACTCTATCACCCCCCCTCAAGCTGGAGCATGTATATCACACATGCCCAGCTTGCCTATCAATTCTACAAACCTATGTATCGGTAGTGATTTGGTGAGAACATCGGCAAGTTGGCTGTCAGTGGAAATGTAGAACAACTTGATGAGTTGAGCTGCAATTTTCTCCCGAATGAGATGGCAATCAATCTCAATGTGTTTTGTGCGTTCGTGTGCCACTGGATTCTCTGCAATTCTGATGGCAGAAGTGTTGTCACAATATAAAGCAAAAGGAGCAGAAAATTTAACAGTGAGATCAGTAAACAAATAACTCAACCATTGTAATTCACAAGACAAATCTGCCATAGCTCGATATTCTGCTTCTGCAGAAGAGCGGCTGATGGTAGTTTGCTTCTTGGAACGCCAACTAATGAGGGATTTACCAAGAAAAACACAAAAACCGGTAGTTGACCTGCAAGTGTCAGGACAACCCGCCCAGTCAGAGTCTGAGAAGGCAGACAAACTGATATCTGAATCAGATGGGAAAAATAGACCTTTCCCAGGATTATTCCTAATGAATCGAACTAATCTAGTCGCAGCATTCATGTGTAAATCAGTGGGATTAGCTACAAATTGAGTGAGATGATGCACAGCATATTGAATATCAGGTCGTGTGGTACATAGATATAATAATCTACCAATTAATCTTCTAAAAGGAGAGGGATCAGAAAGTGGTTCACCAGAAGTGGTAGAATAGCGGACATTGGGTTCAGAAGGTGATTCTGCAACCTTTCCAGCAAGCAATCCAACATCTGCAATAATATCTAAAGCAAACTTTCTTTGACACAAAGTTAGGCCTTTAGAATTTCTAGCAATTTCTAATCCAAGAAAATAACGGAGAGGACCTAGATCTTTAATCTTGAAAGTATCATCAAGCTTTGACTTAATCGACTTCATTTCTAATAAATCATCTCCTGTTAATATCACATCATCAACATATACTAATAAAGCTAAGAATTTTGAACCAGACTGTTTTGTGAAAAGTGTATGATCTGCCTTGGATTGAACAAACCCATTGGCTAACAGAAATTCAGTCAATTTAGAATTCCATTGTCTACTTGCTTGTTTTAGACCATAGAGTGATTTTATTAAGCGACAAACAGGTCTTTTAATGTCAGAAGGAGGAGTTAACCCTTGAGGAATTTTCATATATACTTCTTCCAGAAGATCCCCATGTAAAAACGCATTATTTACATCTAATTGTTCAATAGCCCAGCCCTTGACAGAAGCTAAAGCTAATAAAGTACGAACAGTAGTCATTTTAGCAACTGGTGAAAAAGTTTCTGAGTAATCGATACCCTTAGTTTGTGTATAACCTTTAGCTACTAATCGAGCCTTAAACCTTTCAACAGACCCATCAGCTTTATATTTAATACGATATACCCATTTGAAACCTATGGCTTTATGAGAAGAGGGTAGAGAAGTTACTTTCCAGGTGTTAGTGGCTGCTAAAGCATCAAGTTCAGCTTGCATGGCTGCCACCCAACGTGGATCCTTGATAGCCTCTTCATAACAAGTTGGTTCAACCTCCTTGGTTACATTCATGATAAAACTTTTGTAACCTGCAGCTAGATTGTCATAAGAAAGAACCTTGGAAAGAGGATAAGTAGTATTAGAGGATGTGGCCACTGTTGAATGACAAACAAAGTCCTTGAGTCTAGCAGGAGGCTTTGTTTGTCTTTGTGGCCTTCCAGTGGGAGCTGGAACATTAATATTGGGTATTTGCAAAGGAATGTGAACAGGATTATTGACCTATAACATTCCAGAAGGAGAGACAGAAGGAGGAGCACTAGAAATGCTAGGATCTATGAGAATTTCGAAGTTTGTGAGAGTTAACTCAGAATCGGAGGAGGGTGAAGCATTTTTATATGGGAAGATATGTTCAT